TATTTTATCGTTTTAACCGTATCATTACCATTTTAATAATTGTCTACGCTAAAACTCACGCACACAAAACAAAACACACTTTATGAACAAGACAAAACCACTATACTACGTCCTGCTCAAACGGCAGTAAACTCCCCGGACACACACACACACACACACACCTGTCACAAGGGCAGGGCTGAAGGAGCACCGCAGCGTGTCCTTTTGCCACCCGTGCACACAAAGAGATGGCAAACACAAAAGAAACCGTGAGGCCAGCGTCCCCCGACACACATGCACACACATGCGCGCACAACAATTACCCAGCTCTCAGCGATCAGGCATTGTGTGTTATTGACATTATCATTCACTCCGTGCAAGGTCTCTTCCCCCTCCCACACCCCCTCTCTTTTCCCTTCCTTCTACATTTGGGTTGAATTGGCATGATGGGGGAAATGTGTGAAGGGGTGTGTGGCATGGAACTCATTTCCCTGCTCACTGGCACACATGGAAAGCTTTTTGCTTGACTTCCTCGTGTCCCTCTCTTTCAGCCCATCTGTGAAACAATGCACGTGCGAGTCGTTCGCACACAAAGGTGGAAGATAATGATTTTACCCTGCCAACGTTTCCTGTGTTTGCCAAAACACACACATATGGTTAATCTGCTTACGGTCTCGTTTGGTGGGGGAGAGGACGCTCTGAAATATAAAACAATGAACATTCTGTTTCATTAAAAACTCATTTTAAACCTCCTCTGTTTTTGTCACGGTAGTTTAATTTGAAAAATGGCCTAATACGCGTGATTTATGTGCTTTCCTGAGACTGACTGTCTTCAATTCTGTTTCTAAAAGTAAAAGTTATTTATTCATTTTAGAACCTTGGTTTGCATTTGATTTTTAACGAGATTTCCTAAGAACTCTTCCTCCACAATTAACACTCCCTAGCTGCCCCCTTTTAATCACAAACAGCAACATGTCCTCCCTTCATGTGGCAATGTCCTTTCCTTTTGAGCTCTGCCTCTGCCTCTTTGTTGCCTTCCTGTGGCCTTGTGTGTGTGTTTACTCATGGCTTGAGACTCTGCCATGTGTGTGTGCGTGTCTCCAGTGAGCGATTGTTTCCGTCCCAGCACCACCGACGCTCCGTTTCTTCAATCAATCATCTCACTGAAGGACATTGATTGCATGGTAATCATCCCAACGTGGCCTATGCGTGTGTGTCCATATGTTACATGCCAGTTGAGAGTGTGTGCTGTGGGGGTTCGTTTTTCAATATTACTCCCGTTTTTTTTGTTCCAAAATGATTATTCTTTCATTCGCATTGAGCAATACAAAGTGAGTAAACCCTGTATTCATTCAACACACTCAGTCAGAGAGCTCGACAGTTCAGTCACTAAAGAGTCTCAACTCAAGGTTTCTGGTTTGTTCCAAACAGTCTTCATCCGGTTTGCTTAGTTGTTGATCAACGCTGTTGATCTGTAAGTGTTGAAACGCTCCATTGATCTGAGCACTTGTATTCAATTCTGGCTAAAAGTTTGGCGGTTCACTCTCTTTGTCCACTTTAGTTTTGATTGAAATGAGCAACTGTCTAATCAAAGAAGAAGTAAGAAGAAGAACGGACACCTTTTCGGATATTTAGCACTTGAAAGCTGCTCCCTTCTTGAGAGGAATAGCGTTTGTGTACGAGGCGCTTTACACCGTTCTGTGGCGGTTTGACTTGTTAAAGCAGGAAAAGCTAAGGAGGAATCAGTAACCTTGACGGTGGTCGGGTTCTGTTCCAGAGCTCTACTATTGTTCGTGTTGTTCACTGTCACGCTGACACGGCTCCCTGGGTCACTCCAACAGAACAGAGCCGTCATTCACGTTACTATTTCCAACTGTCTTTCTTTTTCTTGCTCTGACGAAATGTCTGCCTTGAAAAGGGTCCAGACTTGATCCGTTGAGAACTGCTCACATCCTCCACGAACAAGCTCTCGTGACCGTTGACATTGACCTTTCACCCCGGTTAAACTTGCTCACGCCGTGACCCGCACGTCTACTGTGCACTTCAAGAGATAACCTCTTCTCCTGGCCCCCAGTGGCATAAACCCACCGGCACTGCTTCTGCTCTCTATTCCACGATACACAGTGTTCTGACAACACACACTTTCTGTTTCCTTCCTCCCTCAAAACACAAGCCCTCCCCTCTCTCACTCACTCTCTTTCATGCATAAATATGCCTATTTGTAAACATTATTTTAATCTCCTTGGCTTTCCTTAATTTAGCATTTAACCACAGTGACCCTATTTCTAAACAGGTTTCAAAAAAATATTTGATTTATTTTTGATCCAGTCAACTTCCTGGTGTGTGTGCTTGAATAGATTCAGTTCCTTGAAGCACATCTGGATATGAATGTAGCAGGCTCACGACATAAAGCCCCATTACGTTGACATTGGCTATTAAACATTCAAACGTAACCGGCTTTAACAAAACATTCATATGTAAACACACCAGGCGTGCATTGCACACACACACACACACACACACACGAGGAGTGTGATCTCCTCGCTGTAATTACCACAGCACGGCAGGCATGCACACGTGCCCCCGGGGAATCTCTGCATGTTGCTCGTAAACACACACGCACACTCGTATGTATAACTAAGCCCTTGTTCGTCACTGGGCGGCGCCCGAATGCCTCTCTCCTCTACGTTTTTGGTCATTCCGGAATTCTACTGTCCCGTGAGCCCTCCCACACCCTGTAATTACTGTCGCCCGGGCAACCGGAGAAATGAAAAATGCTCAGCATTCTTGTCGCCGTGGTGACTGCGTGAGTGCGGCCCGACGAGCTAGTTGTAGGTGTCGGTTAATGACAGGGACAATGAGACCTCGGTCTCAGGCCTCTGCCACCTCCTGTTAGGAAAACCCAGGCGTGTGTGTGTTGGTGTGTTTGTGTGTGTGTGTGTCCCTTGCGTGCCGCGTAGAGCTTCAAACAGCTTATTAACGCAAAGCCTTGTTCCGTGTTTGCGTGATTATGCTATTGATGACAATAGCTTTAGACTCACACAAGCGCAGACACACATACGTGTGGTATGTGTTAGATTCAACTTTTCATGGAACCTCAGGCAATGTTTTCTCGCTTTGGCTCTAGCTGACCGCCAAACCACATTTCATCCCCCTGGGTGGTGTGTATGTATGGAGCCTGTATACCCCGCACACAGCCTAACTGTGAAAAATGGCACCATGTCTGCCTGTTGACCCATTTAAAAAACCCAGAGCTCATGTTGCTGGAAAAAACACAATGCCACAGCATTAGTGTGTGTCTGTTTGTTGTCATTTTACTAACAGAAATCTGCATTCAGGACTAGAACATTATAATACAAACCAGTTCAATGGGTGGCAACATCTGAGGTATAAAAGTAATTGTTTTGTCAACAGTAATCGTTGGTTTCCACGTAATTGAAATTTGTCTCAATTTTACACACAAATTGTTTTACTTAAAGATATTAGAGTTAAAATAGTTCCTATAATATATATATATATAATAAAACCTCTGACGCATATTCAAATTAAACACACTTAGAGAAGGAAATACTATGACGAGAGTTTCCAAGTAGGCACTACTTACTAATAAGGGGTCTCAAGCCAAAAATATTGGAAACCACTAATAAAAACAAGATATTGAGATGAGGTAATAAGTTGTGATTCACCATTTTTGATATTTTACTTTTGTGTTGCAAGAGCCCTCACACATTTGCAGCTAATCAAATGACAAAATAACAAATGTTTTGCAGTCAAATTTGACCTTTAGGCTGATTGATCTCTCTAACCCCAAAAGAAGACCAAACCAACAGATTTACCAGCAAAAACAATGCTTGAGTGTGTAGATAAAACATTCACACAACAGACCCTGCAGCAGCATAAGCCCACTAGTCACTTCTCGGTAAAAGCATTTCAAACATTGCAACGTTTGTACCACACCATCAGGTTGTTGGTGTTGTGTCTCTACGAGGTCAGTATATATTCCTCATAAAACACATTTAAAAAACAAGGAGACCATTTCCATGACGAGGCCCGGGATTTTCATGAACCTCAAACGGTGGGTATCTAGTTCTCTCTGCTGTCTGTCTCTAGGTACTGCAAGGCTTCATCCTGGAGGCTGAACAGTGAGTGAACACAATGTTCCCACAACTAACTGGCACGTGAGGCTGCGCCTTCTTCGGCGGAACAATTGCCAGAGTATTCAAATCAAGTTCGGACATTGTCTTGCATAATTTTATCCTACTCCTACCTGGGTTGCTCTTTTAAACAGTTAAACAGAACATGGTGGATGATATTGATAAATTGCGCAATACACACGCTGTTTAAAGGAAGTTAACTATTAATGTAATGATAAAATATATATTTCTGTTGTGACTCATGTTGCTCTTTATTGGCGGATGGATATGTTCCAGAGGTGAGAAGTCTGGACTTTCCCGTAAAGGACGTCATAGAAACCGTTGGTTGCGAGTCGCTTCTTTCCGTTGCCTGTTGTCGGAAAACCCACTAGATACAAAAATAAAATTATCTAATGAGATTCTTGTATTTTATTATAGAGTTACATTATAAGTTATATTTTAGGGGATAGATATACTGGCTTATATGCTTTAACTATTTTTTAAACTGAGTATCCGTGTAGTAACAACGTATGTCGGATTAAATTCTTAATGTCTATATCTATATATATTCTATCTTTATAGATGCCAAATAAAAGGCTCGTAATTTTGCAAATAATAAAACAAAACAAATAATAACGTGGCATTATTTGGCCGGCGAATCTGGTTATTGACTATTTCTTACGATATTAACTTTGTTTGGACTGTAAACTATATACTATAAATGAAGTAAACGGGAACAATTAAATAACGGTGAGATGTGTAATGCATGTTAAATTGAAGGGAAATGGTGAAAATGTTGAGCAAAGGTGTGTGGTTTGTGTTCAACGATTTATTATTGAGGGACTACTTTATCGGCGGGGATGTGCACAAACGTTTGCGTCCTAACGAGGCGGTGACGTCACCGCTTTGTCAGTCTCCCTGCACCGCGGTCCTTCCGTCGAGGCTGTACGAGCTTTTCCCGATAACTGATAATCGCTATTTTTCGGGTGAAGATGGCCGCAGGTCCCCTCTCTGTGTCCTCCAACGCATCGACAAACAACGATGGCATTCTCATCGGTGACAAAGTTTACTCGGAAGTGTACCTTACCATCGACAACTCGCTCATACCGGAGGAGCGGCTCTCTCCGACGCCGTCAATGGTCGACGGCCTCGACTTGAACACAGAGACCGACCTTCGCATCCTCGGGTGTGAACTCATTCAGTCGGCGGGCATTCTTCTCCGGTTACCGCAGGTAAGCTTCCTAGCGTGTGCGGTTTGTTTTCAGTGAGTGGAGCATTCGTTTCTAGCGTGAAGCACATCTCGGCCCGGTGTTAGCTGTTTGCTAATGTTAGCATCCTAACGTTGGCGTGGTGTAGTTAAAATGGCGGCTCTCCATTGTGCAAGGTTAGGCCTGCTTATACAAGACTGTCGAAACTCAACGGTCGGTCTGTTTTATCTCGACAGGTGGCCATGGCAACTGGGCAAGTGCTGTTCCATCGCTTTTTCTATTCCAAGTCCTTCGTCAAGCACAGTTTTGAGGTAAGTCATCTTGAACATACGGTCCTTTTGTCAGGGCGCTGGTTGTGCTCTGTAACGTTAGCATAGCTTGTCGTCGCGCTTACGTTGGTGGCGGCCATATTGTCGACGTTCTGCCAGCGTTTTTTGAATTGCCGCAAAAGGGACGTTACTTAAAATCCGTGCGGAAAAAAAGTATAAAGGTGGCTCCGTATAAAAACATCATTCGTCTCTTTTGGGTGACGTTAAGTGATGTATAACTCCTGTAAACACCGCACATGTGAACTTAACGTTACGTAACGTTCTTCTGAGAGTCGCTCTTTAAAGCTTCAAGTGGTCGTTGGTTGACCGGTCAATGTTACGTCATGCGTCTTCTATATATTATATCTATATTCTATAAATAACTTAAACTAAACTCGTTGAATGAATACCATCATCATTTACACATATCTGTTATGTCTGTGATGTACATCACAAGCCCAAACAATAAATGCCCTATTTAATAATTTCCTTAAAACTGTTCTTCTCGATCCGTGATTTAATTCTTCCAAAGATCAAGAACAGGAATAATTGGTAGAATTTCTTGATTGTTAAATTCATGTCTTATTTTTCCAACATTGATGTGTTATGTTCGGGTACTCTTATTACTGGATGCATGCCATAGGTTATTGAACTCTTGTCTTCCAATCGTTTGTGTCACTCATCTTCTTCCCAGATTGTTGCTATGGCTTGTATCAACTTGGCCTCCAAGATTGAGGAAGCACCTAGACGAATAAGAGATGTCATAAATGTTTTTCACCATCTGAGACAGATCAGAGGCAAAAAGTAAGTATGGATGCTGAATCCAGTCTTCCATCTTGTCAAACAATACATGTTGTTTTTACATGGATCATGCTACATTTGGATGTATCCAATATAATGTTGTATTATGTTTTTTTGCTGTGAAAGTGCTCTTCTGTATATCCTTGTACTCTAAACCATTTTAAAACTTTTCAGTTTCCGCTTCACTGGTAGTTTCAGACGTGTAATTGTCAACAAATAACATCTGTTTGACAGTACGCTGAAATTTGACAAGTGCACTAAAAATTGCACGCATTGTGAGACGAGGCACCACAGCTTTATTTGCGTGTGCCTTTGTCTACATAGAAATCTGTTCATGTCAATACTATAGGCCTTGGCATTAACTTGGCTTCTTTTTTCCCTTGCAACCAACTAACAGCGACCAGCTACATTTACCAAAGCCTGGGTGATGTGGAATGGTACGTAAGATGAAGCAGTCGGCATGACAACCAGATGCAAGGGGGTCTCTCCTCCCCCAGGGCCACCCCACCCCTTCCTGTGGGAGACGCCCGTGGTCTGAACCCCTGTGGGGCACTGGGATCAGAGAAGACAGTTGGCCGAAGGTCCTTGGCCCCCGGGGCGGCTTGAGGACTCCTGTGGTTCAATCTTAAGCTTTGGGTATCTGTGCGTCAATCTGCGGCCCGTTGGGTAACGTAGTCTTCTTCACTGACTGCTCTTCACTGTGCATCTTGTTTGTGCTTTAAGAGTAAAACCCCATTCACCAACTGTTTGCCAGCCCACGGCTTTTATAGAAATATCACCTTGTTTGCAGAATAATACAGGGTACTTGTAGACCACGCAGGTTATGTTCTTGTTCAGGGTCGGTGCATGCACTGTAGCTTTAAAAGGAAAGGTATTGTTTGTAGTGACTTTGATTCTGCTGTTAAGCTAAAACCATGATGCACTGTAGCAAGTCTGTTTTTTAGATGACTGGGATGGTTGGTCATGTTAGATAATAGATGTCACACAGATCATTTTACCATGCATGACAATATTCACATTTCAAAATACTACATTTTGATTTTAACTTTTATAGTTGTTGGTAAATATGCTAAATGATTCTGAATAATAATGTGGTTTAAGTTCTATTTGTTTTGCTAAATTTATTCTCTATTATATACATTCATATCATAAATAGTACATGATGAATGATGGGGAGGCCCACACACATCGTCTGTTTTTATAAGTCATGGTTTTAGAAAGGTGAGGTTGTGTTAATGAATTTTGCTTTTGTAAATCTGTTTGTCTGCATTTTAAATAATCTGGTTAGCCAGCAGATATGTTGTAGGTTTGCAGGTTTTTTTCCTTTTCCCTTTAGATATGCAGCTATACTATGAATAAAAGTCATGTGGTTTTAGTTAACAGATAATTTACTTTACTGGCATGTACAGTGCACAGGAATAGGCAAGAAAAGGTTTGCGACTGCGTGTTGAGGTAGTTTTAGGTTTTCGAGTTTTAAGATTTGGTAAATTATTGGGTTGTTGATGTTGCAATTTGAAAGGCTCCGAGTTGATATTTCTATAAAAGCTGTGACAAATGGTGAATGAGGTAGAGGGCCGTCTTCAAAATCCCATATGCTTTCACTAGAACCACAGGAGTCCTCAATCCCCAGCAAACTGTCGGGCATGCAAACAGTTACACCTGTTGCTTTGAGTTGGTTGAAAGGGAAAAGGCTAAATAGTGCAAGAAATCAAAAGGGCATTTTCTTTCTTTATTTCCAAAGGGGGAAACATTATTTTATTTTGATTCCTTTATGAACTAGGACTCCAAGTTCATTGATACTTGATCAGAACTACATAAATACAAAAAACCAAGTCATCAAAGGAGAACGGCGGATCCTGAAGGAGCTGGGCTTCTGTGTGCATGTCAAGCATCCTCACAAGGTGAGTTTAAGCCACACTCGTAACTATTTAAGTACCATGCAGGTGCAACCAGCTTTTACAAACTAGTCCCAGTTCTTAGTGCAACATGAATGAAGCCCCTGGGGGTGATTCAGTGTTTTTAAACGTACCGTTCTTTTATGATTCCAGATCATCGTCATGTACCTTCAAGTCCTTGAATGTGAGAAGAACCAGACACTTGTCCAGACGGCCTGGTAAGTTCCCTCCAGGTTCTCCACAGTCCATTCCCACAGCAGCAACCTGTGTCATGTCTGCAAGAAGTGCCACCAGACCTGGGCTAAATATACTGTTGAACGAGTTTCAAATGGTCGAATCACTTGAAGCGCACTTTATCTATCTGCTAGGATCTTGGAACAAACCCATATATGGAACCGGCACCTGTCGGATAAGTGATTTTCAAGTGCCCCATGTGTTCTTAAGCACATTTGAAAATTATTCAACAACCATTTCGCCCAGGTTTGACTGCGACGTTCCCTCACTCCATTTTTAACCCTTCACCTTTTTATTCTTATTTCTTCTGATGGAGAAATTTTTGTTATTGCAAACCTGTTGCGTGTCTCACTCTCTGCCCTTACATGGCTTTGCTGTAAAGTCTGTTTGATTTTTTTCGGTGCTCGTGGAACTTGGTTTAACTTTGTCCTTTCTCTCTACTCTTTGATTAAAGGGTAGTCCATGCTGGTAAGTCACATAAAGAACCTCTGAACTCTGCCTCCTCCAACCACATGACCTAAGGAAGCTCCCCCCATTGCCTGGCTGCCCCTCTCCAGACAGCCAATCCCAATGCCGAGATTCACTGAAGGGGGCGGGCGGGCCTTTCCCAACAGCCAACATCATCTTGTTTTCTCTTGGGTGTCCAAAAGGATTTGTATTTTTTTTGGTCTTGCTACAAAGGTTTTAACTGTAATGCCCAGTTTTGATAAGTAGCTACACATACGTTTATATTCTGACTTTTTTTCTAGTTTACTTGCATCTAGCAATGAAGTAAACTTGGGCACAACAGAATATATATATATATATATTTTTACCCTTTAACATTTTTTAAAATATTTACAGTATTCTACTGTGTCCTGTCCCCAACTTACTTGGTGTTCAGACATGTGTCTGTTTTACAGGCTGATCCGGTTCTCAGCTTTTGCCTCCACGGACCTGTCTCGCCCACGCAGCAGTCAGAACCCAGCGGCTGTGTGTTAACTATAGTAGCGTTAGCATAGCAGTTTCACAGACTTGCCAAAGTGCATGTCGTTTGATGAAGGCAGGCGAGACTGGAAGTAATCCCGGTGTGGCAACGTTGTTCATAAGTACTCGTGGAATCCCTCCAGTAGAGCAGTTCATATTATTTGAAATGGTGTAACTCAACTATTTGGAGATATTTCACTGCTTTGCGAGTAGTAGTACTTTTTTTGCTGGTTGTAGTTCTTTTTGACAATATGAATGGGATCAGTGTCGTACCAGGTTATGGCCGTTTAATCATCATTTTTCTGTTAACACTTTTTTGTCTTTAGGACTTCTATGTTTCCTTAGAACATAGATGCTCACACCTCCCTGTACTTCCCTAATTCACATCCTGGCCATTTTGTCTTTTTTTTTTTTTTTTTTGGAAAACCCCCCCCCCCCCCCCCCCCCCCAACTCTTCATGGCTAATCTAATTTATCCATTATCCCTGTTTATATCACAGAGGTTCCACTCAGCAGTAGTGAGGTATAGATTGCAATCTGATGACTTTTTAGATACGTTGGTCACATGGGGTTACAGAGAAAGGAAATCAGTTCTACCTTTTTAATTAATTGAAGCCAGAGTATTTTACTTTAAAATTGGCTGCTATTTTACAGTTGAGTCCCGTGGTCCATGTGTATCATCAGAATATTAGACTAGTTCTGCATCATTTGAGCAAGCCCTATTTGTCATGCATGCCACCATACATGCTGCGCCTCCCTATTCCCTCAGATTTGTCTGATTGAAAGTACAAGTGCATTCTCAATGAATGTGTTGAATCCGTATGTCTGCATGCCCCCACCTCTCACACGGCATGTGTCATTATCGCAATTATCATTAGTCTTGGTTTAGCTACTCAAAGGTCAGTGTGGTGAAATGGTGTTGGCAGGTCTTCAGTAGATTTCTTTCCCCATTTGTGTCTTCATGCTTTTCCTGCTACATACAGCAATCCCATGGATGCCCCAGAGAGAAATGGACAAAGTTAAATTTGACAGATTCAAGTGCATATCGCTTGTTGCGTCTGTGCAATGTAAAATGTATAACCGTTAATGCTGTACGTGCCTTTACTGGTCTAATCCTTATTATCTAAACTGAGTGTCTGTTAGAGGTTTGTGGTGATGCTTATTTATAAGTCACCCACAGGAAATCTGTGGTGAAAAGTTAGTTTCTTAGCTAAATCAGATTGTTGACCGACAGTAACGACTTGCGGTGACGCATCTTCAGTCTGTTGCTGTGAGTGAGAAGTGGCTTTGTGTAGAGAAGATGCTATGTTTTTGTTTCTATGTGTTATTTTTGTCTTTAATAGGAACTACATGAATGATACCCTGCGGACAAATGTGTTTGTGAGATTCCAAGCCGAGACCATCGCCTGTGCCTGCATATTCCTCGCTGCCCGAGCCCTGCAGGTGGTTATCTACAACACGTTTTCACACTGCCATGTTGTGAGATTGTGTTTTTGGCACTAAATCCGGTTTACTCTAATCCTCTGTCCTGTGTGTCTCAGATACCTCTACCATCCAGGCCTAACTGGTACCTGCTGTTTGGAGCCAGTGAGGATGAAGTTAAAGAGGTCTGCATCACCACCCTCAAACTCTACACCAGGAAGAAGGTAAGCTTCTAGTTTGACCTTGGATTATCATAGTATTGACTAATAATAAAATTAAACAATTTTAGACAGTTTCTTCCTTTGCCAGGTATTATTACTCAGTGCATTATCAGTAACAGCGCTGTTAATGAGAGTTAAAGACTAAACTGGTGATTAAAATAAAATTACCGCCTAAACATCGGCATAGATTCCTTATTGTGTGTGATAGAAAAAAACGTTATGTCACAACAAACCCATCAGGGACGCCGTCCGCTAACAGCAGGCAGTACGCTGACATTGCGTTTTCTTCCTCAGCCTAACTACGACCAGATGGAGAAGGAGGTGGATCGGAGGAAAATGTTCTTGGCGGAGGCCAAGCTGAAAGCGAAAGGCCTGAACCCCGATGGCACCCCTGCTTTGTCCACACTCGGTGGCTTCTCTCCGGCTTCCAAGCCCTGCTCGCCAAGCGTGGCAAAGGCAGAGGAGAAGTCTCCGAACCCCCAGACCCTCAAACCAGTTAAGAAGGAGCTAGAGAGCCGGACTCAGGTCAACAAGAGTCCGCACAATGGGTAGGAAACAAACCCACACGGTATCTGTCGTTTCACTAACGGTGTGTTTCTATTTTTATATGTTCCTAATATTTGTATTTTTCAGCTTAAGGAAGGACATGAAGATTGGGAAGAACAGTAGGAGCAGAAGTCGATCTCGTTCAAGAACACGGTCCCGGTCGAGATCCCGCTCGCCTCGCAGACAGTAAGTTGCCGGAGAAGATGTAGAAGATTGTAGTTTAATGTCTTGATGGCATCTCAACATCACTTCTATGTATGTTTAACTAGCCGAACATATTCCTCATCTTTCTCTGCTTCCACAGTTACAACAGCAGACGCAGTCACTCGGGGACGTACAGTTCTCGCTCACGCTCTCGCTCTCACAGTCGTAGTCCGTCTCCTCGCCGACATCCGCCCTCCCCCCTCCTCCCCCACCTCAAGTCCAAGTCCAGCCACCACAGCAACAGCGACTCTAAGCCCAGCAGTCGCCACAGCAACAGTGGCAGCGCAACGGCTCACAAGCGGAAGCGCTCGCGTTCTCGCACGCGGTCCCGCAGTCCGGTCAAGGTGGAGCGGGAACGGGAGCGGGACCGAGAGCGCGAACGGGAGAGAGACAGAGAGCGCAGCTCCTTCGAGCTCACCACGAAGAAACACAAGCACGAGCGAGGAGGCGGTCACCGTGGAGACCGGCGAGAGAGGGAGAGGTCCCGGTCCTACGACAGGGACCGGGAGAGAGAGCGCGGCCACAAGAGCAAACACCACAGCAGCAGTGGCCACTCGGGACACCGCCACCGCCGCTGAGACCACCCCCCCCCACCCAACACACACCACCAACAGGCTATCTCGAGGACTGATGGTCACTGAAGTATTTCCAGTATACTCAAAATCAAAATAATTTTGGCGTGTTTTCCGAATGCGCAGTGTGCTAAATGAGTGCAACTGCGAGTGTTTGCATTCGATGACGTCACGTCTTGCGAGTTCTTCTGACGGTTGACTAAATGGTTGCACTTAAACTATTAGGGAAGTTAAACAAATATCTGCAGCTGTCAGACGACCTCTCTTGACGTGTCCTCACAATGCTGCACCTCTGCCCGTGGTTGAGCAAACATGCCAAGTTTGGTTTCCTTTTGGGTAAACTGAGCCTAATGCCAACATAGTTGGCTGACTGGGCTTCTCATATGCATCCTAAAAATGACCATTTAAACTATATGCTTTACGGGAATTTTGATCCTCTTCAATCCTCTTAATTTTGCTGGCCTGTCAAATCAGTACCTTTTTTTTGTTTTTTACTTATTTTTATTGAATTCTTTTTTGTCATCGATGATATTTATGGAAATAATGTTGAAATTGCCGAGATCCTCCACCTACCTTCTGCATGTACAAATGTCTTAGTTATATAATACGCATTGATTTGACTCATCTACGCAACAGCACACTTGTAGCTGATATTTGGCGGAGGTGGTTGATGTTGTGTTTCTGTGGACTGGAAGTGTGTGTCTGAGGAACCCGGGCTGCAGCCGCAACTACCAGCAGTAAGTGGACTATTTGTACGTTTACTCACCTTTTTTCACCCAGCGAGACATCAGTCCCAGACCGGATGTCCCGCCCTCTCCTGCTATAGGTTGATGTTGATTTTCCCATGCTACCTCCAACCCCGCACACACACCACGGCCATCTCTCTAGCCTGCCCTTACGTTCTTAGTTTTACATGTAAAGTTATGGACTTTGGGAAAACAAAACTTATTTACAGTGTAAAGATGGATTGATATCTGCTGACAAAATGTGAACGCTTTGATTTATAAAAGCGAACCGCTCAGTGGAACATTGAATGAACAAATGTCAAATAAAAGCGATCATTCAGGAAGATCAGTATGTTTGCAAATTAAGGGACAGGTGGGCGAGTGGTATATATATTTTTTCCATTTTTTTTTGACATGTATATTGCTAAAGCAGTTTTGTACAGTTTCAATTTTTTTTTTTTTTTTTTTACAGCAGGGGTTACAGATTGATTTGAAAAAGTTTAGGGTTGTCAATTTGTTACACTGGTTTTTAGTCTGCACGTGTTCATGTCCAATTTTTATTCAATAATAAATGAGCTATGCCACTGAACTGGTCTTCATTGGATTGGTGTCACTAAGTAGAACAACCTGACATAGTTGTTGTATACGGTTGAGCACGGAAATAACAGATATGAGCTTCTGGCTAGAGGACTACTAGGAAGCAAGGAAACAATATACCCACAGTCCAATTTCTGCTTCTCCTTTTTATTCAACCAAACCCAGAAACTATAAAAGATTTATTGAAAAAAAGAAGGAAGTCAGTATCAGACATGCAAAAGGTGCAACAAGCAAATATACAATAGGTTACTAATTTATTTGCAGTGTTAGATCCGAGTTATATAAACACAATGTGGGAGAAAGCGGAAGACAGAAGCAACATTCATTAAGTAGCATTTCTAGACATCACTGAAGTGTTCCAACAGTATGTGGAGAAAATAAATATTGAATTTATATGAAAAATCAAATATAAAATTAAATGGAATTTAACACTTTAAAGTAAAAAGCCTTTCCTACAATTCTTTACACGATGCTCATAAATGGTTTTATACATTCAGAAAATGTAACATCTTCACATATAGTTTTGTGATTGTTGATATCGATTGTTGATAGATGTATAGTATCGTCTCCATCCTCATAACTGAAAATTGAATTGAATGTTGTGCCTTAAAGTAGTGAAGTAGTAGTGTCTGCCATTGTGTGTGTGTGTGTGTGTGTGTGTGTGTGTGTGTGTGTGTGTGTGTGTGTGTGTGTGTGTGTGTGTGTGTGAGGCTGTACTTAAGCACTGCAGTGCTTTGAAGAAAAGTCAAAAAATGAAAATGTTTTGGAAAAAATAGTCAAAATATTTTAAATCGAACAATGTCATCGGAATTCTTTAAAAAAAAATACTTAGTTGAAAAATGTCATGCAGAAAAACCATGTCAAAAAGGGTTTTATGATAAAAAGTCTTTTGACTTTTTATCATAAAACCCTTTGTTAGGTTGAAAAATGTCATGGAAAAAAAGGTAAAAAAAATATTATGTAAAAAATGTCTGAGCTGACTATAAAGCTGCTCTTATAATTCCTGCTTTCAAGGAGACTGAGCAGTTTCATTATTGCTTACAGTCCTAATGAGGTCTGTGCGTGAAGTCTTTAATGTTAAATACTATTCTGGCTACAAAATGCATCTCAATACTCGTGCATCATTAAACTACAACAGATCCCAAGTTTCCAGAAATGCTGATTTAGTTTGATTGTTGAAGCTCACAGCAGTGTCGGGTCTCAAGCAGAGTAAGTCAAAATGTCCATACTATATGATCCAGTCAGGTTAAATGTATGTGTAACTTTGATGGTGGTCCATTGTGGTGTAAAATCGTTAGTTTGACACGTTGTTTCTAAAATCAGTGCATAAAACGTTTTTTATAATTGTTTTTTGAATATTGGAGGATACCACCTATTACAAATAGAAAGTTGTGGTACTGGCAGTGGACGTCTTTGTCTCCAAAATCTTAGCAAAAACGTAATCTTACTCAGTGTTTGCATATGTGTATAGCTATGAATTTGTATGCACGGCATGTATTATCAACAGTCACGTATTCTCTCACAGGTAGGTGGTAGCCTCTCTGTTCTCCCTCTCTCTGGCCTGAGCCACGGCCACGTGGATGCACTGCAGCCACTCCTCGGCATGCTTCTCATCCTGGGCCTTCAGCACGTACGTCTTACTGTCGGTGAAGATCTCGAAGGCCCGGGGCAGGCCGCGATCACGCCGCTTCTTGGCCACCACCTATGCGGACAAAAGAAGCAGAAGAGACTTGCACTGAAACATCCGTCTTCTTCATTTGCCTTTACTTCTATCTTCTTAACGTATTAATACGTTACAAGGTTACAGGGTTCAAGTTTCCATGATGTGATTTATTTACCAATATTAAGACTTTCTCTTCCCTCCGTGGCTTAGAGGAAGTGCAGAGAGCACCTACGTTTTTAAAGGTCGGATATGATCAGCCGTTCCCACAGTACTTGGCAATGCTGTCAAAATCATAAATGAATGGTCCAACATGTCTCTCCATCGTAATGTTGACACTAACAATATGTAGCTAGTCAATGGCGCACCCTATCGTATCAATACTTACGACACGCTGTCCATCAATCTTGTCTGTCTTAAACAGCTACCGTTTTAAGCTCCTTATTGCCCCTGCTGTTAGATAATTGTTACTTAAGCTTAAGTTACTTAACTTGCTGCTGGTGATGGTTGTTACTACAGATATTTACTCTCTACCGCCTCCTGCTGGTGATAGTTGTTACTACAGCGTTTGTCTCTTTGCTTCCCTCTGCTGGTGATAGTTGTTACTACAGTTACGGTCTCTCTGCCTCCCTCTGGTGGTTATTGTCGATACTACAGTTACTGTCTCTCTGCCTCCCTCTGGTGGTTATTGTCGATACTACAGTCACCCCTTTTTGTTGCCTTTCCTTTGTTTTTTGTCTTATATCCTCGCATCTTCTGGCCCCCCCTTTTCTTTTCAATTCAATCTCACACACTATACATTTCATTTTTTTTTAAATGGTATGGTTAGAATAGTTTCATAGGGCTTGTTGGTTGTAGATATTATTGTCTTTGTAGGATATTATCTTGATTGGTATAACTGTCATTTAATAAACTATTTTAAACTTCAAAGAATGATTTTTCTGTGTTTACCATGTCGATTTGGTATGGTGGGGATAGTAGGGTTCAATTTTCTGCTCAAAATCCAAAACCTTCACCGTTAACTCTTGTATATAATAGTACTGTGTATAATAGTACTTATAGTAGATCGTTTTGGCAGCAGGTTTTTTAGGGACGACACTGTAACTCCTCACCTTGACACTCTGCACTTTGCTCAGCTCAATGGGGATGTCATCCAGCTCATCTTTCTGTGGGGTGGACAAAGCATAACAGTAGTAAAAAGTTCATTCATTTTCAAACAGCTCTTGTACCAGGTTTTCTGCGAATGTGCTACATCATTCTGTAAATAAACATTGACTTTAAAAGAAAGGTCTTCATAATAAGAACCTTACTGGGCGCCAACGCTCTGGATCACTGACTCACTTTTCAAAAATGTTTTTTGAGTATATTTTCGAGAGACATTCAGGAAACCATATTTGAGATTAACAAATGCAAACAAACTACGACGCAAGACCTCATTAAAGCAAGAGGTGGCGTTTAATAACTCTGCTATACCTGTGTTGGCACGAGTCTTAAACCTCTCAATCCTTCAAAGATGCTCGCTAATTAATTGTAGAGGAAACAACCCATTTTCTTGTTCTCAATTTCATTCTCTTTTTGGGGAAAATGTTTTTCACAACAAAGGTCTGCTGAAATACTTCCAGAACAAGGACGGACTGAGCTCCAAGAACAAAGACTCAAAAGGAGTGCAGACAAAAAAAAACGACCTCTGCGTCTCAACTACCAGAGAATATCCAGATAAACATCTTCGGCGTCGTGCTTGCTTCTATTTTTTTGGGAGCTGATTTTTATAAACATGTTTAAAATTTACCCTGGTGGGTATGACAATTATTTCAATTATAATTAATTGGTTCACTCCTGTAGATCACTGCCGTAAATCTGGATATAAGCACCACCCAAATACACAGAAGTGAAGTCAAATTTACAAAAAAATGATTTTCTCACGACTTGAGCTGACTGAAAATATTTTTTTTCTGGCAGCTGGATAAAATCAAGCTTGACCAAATCTTTTGACAAACTCTGACCTGAACACATAGTTGGCCGCCTTGCTTTCGCTTGATGTTTTGATTAAACAAACTTTACCTTCTCACAGAAACACTCCAATCAGTGACGTTAGCGTTAGTTTGAGTCACCAGCAAACACATGGAAGATGGTTCCTTTCTATCACCGGGGCGATGGTTTGTTAACGTCGGATTCACCCGGTGCTCCCGAGGGATAATGAGCTCATCGCGAGATGTGATTTCCACTGTTTCATAAGGTTTCACCACGATTCAAATGACACGGAACTAGGACACATTTATGAAGAGTTTCTGATCGAGAGGCCAGGGGAAGTGTACATGTGTGCGGAGGCTGGATTGTCATTGATTTCGTACTGATTTGCCTTTCCGGAAGAGGAGCTGGTTTCCTGCCAGGGTGAAGTAACGGGTTTTCCAGCGCTTGATGAACTTCCAGCGAACCTGCTTCTCCTTCAGCTTCCCCTCGATGAGAGGCTGTCCCTCCTGGTTCACGACTAGACAGAGGGGACAAGAAACAAAAGGGTTTCCTTTCCGTTTTCTTGACATTACAGCTGACCAACAATGGATTGATCTGGAAGGTGAGAAGAAAGGATGCATCCATAGGCCGTTGGGAGACACTCAAACATAGCCTGTGGTTATGAGCTACGTGCAAAAGTTCTAATAAAAAATGTGGAATGTTTTGCGAACAAACAGTAACCACCAAGTTTCTATTCCAAGTTATTTTCTGTGGCGTGGGGCCGGCCTGGCCAGATGCAGCTCACGGGACAGTTTCATAACCCTCTAGAATAGGAATTATTATTATTATATCTGACTCACAAGGTTCTGTTATTTCATATTTCCCTTTGGGATTTTCCCACAGTCTTCGAGTCTACAGTAATAATTTGCTTTGTTAGCATCAACAGCAAAAAAGTCTTCTAATACAAAATGTATGTTTTTGAACCAGAAAGAAAGGTTGATCTGAAGGACAAAAGCCTCTCTGGATGAAGATGAAAACATCAAATCACGTAACTGGCTGAATATACAGAATGAATATCATGTTAAGACCAGAAAAACTGAATTTAAATGCACTGCAGATCAGCAACACATGTTATTGTGTGTCTCAGAGACGACGGTCCGATGGACCGGAACACAGAAGATCGGGTTAGTTTAGGGTTTGGTGCCAATTGAAGAACTTCAGATGTTAACCACAAGAAACAGAGCCACCCTTTGTATCCATGGCAACGAGGAAAGCAGTGGAGAGATAATTGCAATCAGTTCAGTGTGTGTGTGTAATTTGGGGTGTGTGATTGCCTCCTGCAGTACCCAGCAATGCAGTTTGGATGAACGGTTTACAGGTACAGAAATGCAAAAGATACACACACGTACAGACTGGGAGTAGAGACAGAGATTCCTGCCTTCATAGTTTCATAGACAACAGCGGTGCATCATCACATTTTACTGTAATAACAGCAGTTAAATGAATGGCTGTGAACATGACTAGAGGCGGGGTAGGCATTGTGTGTTTTATTTTTATAACTCACTTATGATTCACTTGAATGCCAATCATCTGAGTAAAACATTTACATTTCTTCCGATATGTCCGTCTCTGTGTGTTTGTGTGTATTTCCTCTGCCTATTCACATTCCGTCAGGCTGTTTAGACACATACAGTTGGAGGCACTCCCATCATGATCGTGTGCATCATCTTACAAATATTCTGCAGTGCAGAAATAAACTTGGTGTGTTGCTTAAATCGTTGGACCTTTTGCAGTCGCTTGGCTTTGATGCAGAGACCTGGAATGTGAACCCTGGACGTTGTGGAATGTGATCCCTGGACGTTGTGGAATGTGATCCCTGGACGTTGTGGAATGTGATCCGATGACGTTGTGGAATGTGATCCCTGGACGTTGTGGAATGTGATCTGATGACGTTGTGGAATGTGATCTCTGGACGTTGTGGAATGTGATCCCTGGACGTTGTGGAATGGGATCCGTAGACGTTGTGGAATGTGATCCCTGGACGTTGTGGAATGGGATCCGATGACGTTGTGGAATGTGATCTCTGGACGTTGTGGAATGTGATCCCTGGACGTTGTGGAATGGGATCCGATGACGTTGTGGAATGTGATCTCTGGACATTGTGGAATGTGATCCCTGGATGTTGTGGAATGTGACCCCTGGATGTTGTGGAATGTGATCCCTGGATGCTGTGGAATGTGATCCGATGACGTTGTGGAATGTGATCCCTGGATGTTGTGGAATGTGATCCCTGGATGTTGTGGAATGTGATCCCTGGACGTTGTGGAATGTGATCCGATGACGTTTTGGAATGTGATCTCGGGACGTTGTGGAATGTGATCTCGGGATGTTGTGGAATGTGATCCCTGGACGTTGTGGAATGTGATCCCTGGACGTTGTGGAATGTGATCCCTGGACGTTGTGGAATGTGATCCCTGGATGCTGTGGAATGTGATCTCGGGACGTTGTGGAATGTGATCCCTGGACGTTGTGGAATGTGATCCCATGATGTCTAAGGCAAGTTCTGTAATCGACAACACGTCGTCTGAAACACGCACACACCATTCTTCTGCTGCAGCCGTCCACATGTGGTCAGATGATGCGCAGCAACCTCTTTTAAAAAGGTTCTGCTGTTGTACCATTTAGAGCTCTGTGGGAGACATGGTTTTCCAAACTGCGACAAAGGACAAAGAGTCGAGTGTCCGACCCAAATCATTAGCAGAAACAGCTGTGCCTCCGAAAAAAGCACAACCGCGCCCTCACACGCAAACCTGTTTGTGTGTGTCAATTTGTATGGCTTTTATAATGTATGAGTGCATTTGAGGATAAATGCGTGTAGTTGGGTGTTTGCAGTTTTGGGCTAAAGTACGACAACATCGGGATGAAGTGTGAGAAGAACAGTGCGACGTGTCCTGCAAGGAAACTAAGTCCTCTGACTCACATCAACATCAGAAAAACATGTGGCTGCAAAGAAGTTACCATCCCCCAACAGGGTCAATGTCACGTTTTTCCTTTTTGAGGCATCAATATCACACCCCCCATGAATTCCAAGTCATAAAAGAAGACTTCAAAATTCAGTCGCATTCAAAATAATATATATTAAAAGTAAACGGAGGTCACCCTCTAAGTCCAAAATTAGTTTTGCCCAATGTAGAGTGGAATGAGGGAAGAGACGGTTCACAGGCCAATGGCCACTTTTCTCCAACAACAAGGTGTTAGCTGACATGTTAACTTAGGGCCACAGCCCCGCCAGAGGATATTAACAGAATATGTAACAGCCCCCTTGAGAAATGCTGTCCAAAATAATTTGAGCACTGCCCCATTCCCAGAACTCACACACCATCTCTGGCGCGCAGTGATGAACGTCCCCTCAACCACGGAATCTCCTGAATTTGCAACATGGTTCCCGGAGGTGGGAACTTCTGTCCAGCGTGTCTTTGCTGATCGATGGTGAAATGATGGAAAGTATTTCTTGTGGTTTTCTATCTTGTTTTTGCAATGTTTCAAACGGTTTCCCACAAACCAGTTATCTCGGTGGCAAGTTCAGGTATAAGACACAACCACACGCACGCACGCACACACACACACACACACACACACACACACACACACACACACACACACACACACACACACACACACACACACACACACACACACACACACACACACACACCTGTGCTGGTTACCACTCACTCCAACTCAACACTGTATCTTAAAGCATCACAGAGATGCATTAACAACCCGTCGCCTTTCTGGAGTCCACCTCTTTGCTTGTGTGTGACCTCATGTGAACCGCATGCATATGTGGTAAATATGAGTTTACCATAAGGATTGTGTGCTCCATTTGTGCTGAAATTGCAAAAATGGGTCACCTAAAAGTGGTAAAGATCCAATTCCAAATCCACAGGATCTGAAGTACAGTCGTTACGTTTTCTTTAGTGAAATGATGTAGTTCTGGATGCAGCTGGACGGCTTCCAGTTGGATCAGTAAACACACGTCTCAAGTGTAAATTTGAGTTTTCTGGCTTCGACTATTATTGTTATTTTTTCATTTTGAATTGAGATTCTTGTATATGAGCTATTTAAATGTGTGTTTGCATCCAATATACGATGGAATGAAACAGACATGTGGTGTGATCACTAATCCCAAATATCAGTGGCACACAGCATCAACCATTTATTTTGTACCGAATGTTCTGTAAACATTTTCTTGCATAAAGCAGCGTCATTCACTCAAAGTTTTGTAGCCAACTTTCGACAACAATGAACACTGACTAATGACCTGCTGAAGATAATGTTTGTTCAGGGTTCATGTGACTGACACACAAATCTCAGGCCTCAGGTGCTGGAGGTCCCACAGGAATCGCTTATTGAATACAGTGGACGAGATTTATGGCCACAACCTCCACAAGTACTGCACATGTCAGGACTCCAATTCATCTCACTGACTGCCAAGTAGCATCCAGCGCTTCCAAGTCCTCATTTCTTTAACTCATATCACACGTTCTCATGTGTGCGGCTGAATGCCGGCTGCTTGTTGCACGTCTTTCTTGGAATGTGTTCATTTCCCGTTTAAACAAAAAACATCAGACTCAGCATTGCTGACTGCGTTGACTACAACCTCTGACGCTAATAAAATACGTGCGGTTTTTCACAGGTTTAATGAGAGTGATTTGATCTCTGCAGGGTTGTCTGGGCCCGGATCTCATTACAGATACAACATAGATGTCACGGCGACTCTGCTCTCTTCGGGGCGATGTTCACGATATTACATTTAGTTCCTGAGCCACGGTAACGCGGCGGGATGATTGACAGCCGCCCTCGGGCCTCGCGTTGCTTCTCCACCACGCGGTGCAGGCAGCACGGGCCACAACTTGCACTCTTCTTCCCCTTCCTATAAAACTAATAACTGCTTTCTATGAAAGACAGAGAGACACAAGAAGATTTGAAGCCTGTTCACCAAACTCATGTCCACATGTCCTTTGAAGGCTAATCGGTCGCTCATCGATTTATAGACTGTGAATTCAGTCTCTCGTGTCTCTTGTTTTTCAGAGACGGGCGCCAGGGGAGAGACGGCCAACAGTTAGAATAACGTGATATTACCTCCTATTAGTCCCACAGCGGAGTGTTGCAACAGTAGCAAAGGGAACATAGGAGATACAGTAAGTAGAAGGACTCAATGGGTGAATTGACATAATTGCGAGACGTACGAAATTGCACGAACGAAAAGCAAAAGCGAAGGAAGGAAGTCTGAACAGCGAGGAGCCAGTATTTTGTAGAGTTGTAGTATTAAGCCAGATGTAGAAAAGGGTGTTTTTGGTTTGTGCTCAATATATACTCAATACTCAAGACAGAAAACACAAACACAGTCATCTAAATGTGGTTTCAGGATTCGGTCGCTATTCCAAAATCTGACTTCATCCGGACAGAGTTCCCGCCGAAGGGGGTCGCTCGTCCAAAGTAAACTAATCAGCAGTAAATCAGGACGACTGATTACAGTGCTTTTTCAAATCGGATGGGCAGCTATTAAACAAGAGCTGCTCTTTGCTCCATTTCTCTCCACTTTTCTGGGAAAAGGTTGTCCCCCCTGATGGCGTTTTGAGTGGAAACATCCCATAGAGCTCAGCGCTGCGATGGATTCAGAATCAGCCCCCAACCGCGTGTCCGGGAAAGCTTGTGCCGTGATTTAAATGGGAGAAAAGTTCAAACCCCACTGAGGTGGTTTATTGCTCTGTTTAAAGAAGAAAACAAGGGGCAGGCGCAATTCAGGGGAAACCAGAGGGGAATTTAAAATGAGTAATTTTACGGTAATATATGAGAGAATAATCATTTGAGCTTATTTCATCCATCAGCGTTTTCACCATCATTCATTTACAACACATTCATTTAAATTAAATTTACACGGAACAAAAAATACTCTCGAGTGAGAGTAACGGCTCCCTCATTGAATACGAGAAGACAACGTGTGTGTGTGTGTGTGTGTGTGTGTGTGTGTGTGTGTGTGTGTGTGTGTGTGTGTGTGTGTGTGTGAGCATACCTGTGGCCTTCTCAGGATTGTTGCACATGAAGCAAAGCCAACCCTCCTCTTCCTCACTGTAGCCAAACAGGTCAAAAAAACGTACCTCCTCCAGCTGGATCTGGAGACTGTTCAGGTCCTGAAGACAAATGGAAAGAAAACAGAATAACTAATAAATATCCTGTAACTATATTTGAATTGCCTATATCGTTATTAATATTACAATAAACATTTTTCAAAGAAGACAATTTAGCGTTTGCTGGTGTTTTGCTGGCTGGCTCAGCTAACTGGGAAAAGATCCAGGTGGTGATTTATCCCATCGTATACTATACATATTACTTCTGCACAGCGACCATATAGCCTACAGTATAATTGACTTATTGGGACCTCTGAGAAGCTATGTTTCGTTAAATTTAAAAAAAAAACACCATCGTCAATTTCGTTAGAGCTGCTGTGCATGAAGACACAGACCAAACCACAAGCGCAATACACACAGATGGTAAGTGGCCCGTAACTCTGAGAGGTCCTTAAAACCTTGACATTCCAGTCATGGCCTGCGCAACTGGGCATCGGTGCGCGTGTGTGTGTGTGTGTGTGTGCATGTGTGTGTGTGTGGGTGTGTGTGTGTGTGTGTGTTTCGGAGTAGAAAGTAATAGAAACCAATGAAGCTCTCTGAAGACCCGCTGCACATGGTAAACGTTACACTTCACTCTGACTACACGGAAAACACACTTCAATGACAGCTGAACCCTCGGGGCGATACGTATTTATATCAGAACGGGGACATCGGAGGAGGAGATGATGGATGACAGAGAAACATAGTTGTGCTCGTTCATAGTGTGCTCGCCTTTGTCTCCGTCTATGTTTGTTTATAATAAACTCACAGTTTAAATATACTGCACACAATACCATACTTCTTAATTTCCCTCAACTCTGAGCCGGGGTAGTATTTATCCCCCCCGGACGTGGTACTTTCGTGAAATTTTTACGGACAATGAGGAAAACGTGTGGGTGTGACGAAGGAGCCGCGAGTGTTGTCGACCTCTTGGCCCCTTCCGTCCGTCCTTGATGTCGAGCAGCGAGGACGTAAACGTGAAAGACGTTTTTTTTTTTTTTAACACAAACAAACGTTTGGAGATGTGCGCTGTGTCGTAATTGAGGGGAAAGGGCTTCGCCTGCAGATACAAATAAACCAGGACCATGTGGTGCCGAGGTGAAATATCTGTGGGTTTACGCAATCTTTATTACTTCGAGGAGCGGATGGTCTTCAGGAGACGCAGGTTGTGAATGTGAGGAATCCTCATTAGGATTACTGTAAACCCACAGACAGACTCGTTATAAAGTCGAGTACAGTAAAAAATCAGCTCTTTAACTTTAACTACTTCCTTTAATCCAGGATGCACATTCAAGGAAATAATGCGACACAGGTGAAAGAACTACAGCGCTTTCATCTTCATTTCAACAAGAGACAATAAAAATAGAGCCTTTAAAAGCCAATCGGAGCCATTTTTTCTCTGAAAAGCCACAAAGGAAACACAGAAGCGAGAAAACAATGAGTCAGAAGTTGAGCAACAGGGAGCGAGCAACGATAAATCAGGGAACACGTGGCCCGGATCCGCTGCGTAACACCACGAGAAGTCAATCGTTCGTTTGTAGGGAAGGACGGTGGGAGGTGGAGGCGGGAGGGGCAGAGAGGGGAGTGCGGGTGAGGAGAGAGGCGAGTGGATGAGAAGGGGGAGTGTAGGAAAGGGGAGTGGGCGAAGGTGACGTACGAGGCGAAGGCTTCGCGTGGACGTCTCTCTTAAAAATGTCCAACCACGTCTGGGAAAGAATGCACATTGTTCTGATATTTGATGGGATATTTGAATTACCACATGTGAACCACATCCCGGGGTTCCTATTGGGGCAACTCGTCTTCCCGTTTCTTTGTCTCTCCTTCTAATCTCGGCCTTTAGCTTTACTCCATCAACCCCAGTGAAGCGAGACTTGTGTCTCCATCTCTCAGGCTTCCACTTTGCTGCCGCCGCGTCTCATGTCGGGTCTTTTCCCTCTTTTCTTTGGCCACATCCTCAGGATGTTTTTGCTTTTACCGCATCACAATCTCTTTCTTTTTAGTCTTTATGTTCACATTGTCTTTATGAATCACTCCTCGTATCACATTCTTCTTCTTATTTTTTTTTTTAAACAATCTTAGCTTTATAGTTTCTTATCTACAGTTGTCCTTTTATTCTTCTACCCTCTTTAACAGACAACAGATGGTGGAGAATTACCAGGCTATATATATTAATGAATTCCCTTTTCGACCTTTCCCATTACTTCCCATAATGCCCTTTAATTTTTTCCTATAATCTCAACCCTGCTCTCTCGGGATCTGTGTCTCTTGTGATTAACACAACGGTGCACTGCTGTCATTTTGTGGGGTTCATTCGAGTTTAATCTCGGATTAATCTTTATCTCTTGACCCCCCCGACCGGCTTCTCCTTTTTCCTGTTCTGTAGACCAATTACCCTTTTGTTGTTAATGTTCTTTCTCAACCTCCTCCATCTCAAGTAGCTCATTTCCATACTTTTCTGCTTATCCTTGAACTCCTCTCATCTTTGCTCACACCAGCTTTTTATAATCTCTGGCCTAAAACACAAGTTGCCGCAGGTTGTGCATATAACTTACTCTTAAATCTCTGGCGCCTCATGAAGCCCTGTAGTATCCTTTCAAATGTCTACGTCAGTACACACACAATCACAACCTTCTGTTTGTGATTAATGTCTTTCCTTCCTCTCAAATCTCCTCTCTCCTTGTCGTGCACTGCACGTGTTCCTCAGCGGCTGACAGGAGGGAAGCTGCAGGACTAATAGAGTGGCAGAGATAACAAAGAGGAAATGCACAGCATATGGATTAAGGGTCGTGGCCTTTCTATTCCTGCTTTGCTGTTAAATATTCCCTTTCTGCTGGGTTCTGCCAATAGTGAAAACACACTTTTAAGAAAAAAAGACAAAGCCAAGCTAGCAGTTCACGCTATTTCCAGTCCTTAAGTAACTGGCTATCTTCATACTTTTCCCATGAAAGTGGTGTTGATCTTCTCATTTAACGCAAACGGAGGCAAATAAGAGAGTAGATCTTGAAGTGTCTGACTTTTCCTTTAAGGTACGAGTGATCCAGTTGGGACTAGTCAGAAAAAAAAAAACGTACAAAGCTTATTTGGCTTTTGGCTCAGCACGTAAATCAGAGGTTTTAGTGCAGAGCGATGCAGTGAAAGTTTACAACCACGTTTGAAGCATTGGCCGTCACACAGCGTGAGTCGTCCTGTCCTGCAGTGGCGGAATGTACATAAGTGCTGTTAAAAGCAAATTTGCGATATTAGTAATGAACATGTGTCTTTTCATGGGATTCCTCTCTTTTGCTCACAGTTTAGAGGGGAAAGTAAATATTGTACTTTTTACTTCTTGAGAACTAAATGTAATCATTGAACAATAATTGTAGAGTCATTTTTCATGCAAAAACAGTTTGTGGTGACCTTTTATAATGTGAGGGTTTGCTACTAATTATCATTATTAAATAATCATTTCATCAAAGTTATGCTAAATGATTTTGTCTGTTGGTTGGACGAAGCGAGCACGGCGGTGTCGCTTCGGGATCTCATTATTTGGGAGACATTATTTCTCACAATTTAATCTTTTTTTTTTTTTTTTTCGATTACTTAATTAACGTTTGATCCATTAGTAGTTGCAGTCAAATATAATATACAAAATACAAAGCAACATCCTGCTTAGCCAGCTCTACAATAATGCACGAGTAATCATAATCTGAGGATAAAATATATAACAGGATGAAAACCAGAGAGACATCTTTTACTTTGAATACTCCTACATTTATCTGCACTTTTACTTAAGTAACATATCTGAACTCCAATACTTTCACTGTGCAAAGTGTGTGTGTGTGTGTGTGTGTGTGCATGAATACGTTTATGCTCCATGTGGTGACCAAAGCTGGTCAATCTGACAGAAGCCACCGTACCAGTGTAGAGACAGACAAACCACAGCTGTATTTTCGTTGTAGGTCCAATTATTTCCCAGCAACCATTTAGCCCGTCACATTATGAAGGAGCAGCACTCACAAAAACACACATTGAAATGAGCACACGTGTATTCACACACACACAGGAGAGGTTTTGTATACACAAGTGTCCATTTGGGGATTCAATGTTTAAACAAAGTGAGTGTTGAACACTTTCCTTGGTTGGAGTTTAGTTTTTTTGTTTCACTACTAATGACTTCATTCCCTCTGCTCAAGGCAGATGGGGGGGAGCAACACTCACACACACTCACACACAGACACACACTCTCACACACCTTCCTGTGTGGGGTGGTGTTCTCTGTCATAGCCACTGGGAAGCTGTGAGCTCCTTTTAGCTGCGTCTTCTCCCAAAGGCTGGCGAGCCTCTGGACACACTCGTCCTTGGAGCACAAAGCGACGCTGGATTTACTCTGGTCAAGAGAGGAAAGACAACAGCAGCAAAACAAACACACACACACACCAAGTTACTCGTCGGCCATTTTACATCAGGCCACATCTTGCAACCTCATGTTGCATTGCACACTACAGGGTTCGCTGTGCGATGTGAACCGACCTGTGAACCAGGAGCACATTGTCTTTGTACCTGGAGATGCAGCAGCATGATGCGTATCCAGAGCTGCGGCTGCCGGCTGGTCAGGTTGAAGCAGGACTTGGCGTACAGACAGTAGTGGCCCTTGAGAGGACAGGAGAACGACAGCTTGGCCACACATCCTCGATTTGAATCTAGCGCACAAACACGGGCAGACAAACACACACAAATAGCACCATTTGTATTTGGCAGAGGCTCAAGTTGGAACCTCCGGGCTAACCCGGTGTCATTTAGCAATCTTCCCCGCCGTGCTCATCGCCGCCCCTTGAACATATGCGAGAGGGATTTATTTAATTTGAGGATTTCTTCTGGTTAGAGCAACAAACACACATTTTACGAATAAGTCTGTTCACATTCAGGTGAAGGAACGTGAAGGAAAGGAATTATAGAATATAGTGTGCACATGCAGCCCAGTGAAGTAGTCCATGTCTCCCTGCTTTTTATTTTCCGGCTGCAAGCGGTCAGCAGTCTTCTATCAAAGAGATAAACATCAGCGTGAGTGTGATTCAAAGCCAAACCGTAATTTGTTATTTGGCACATGGGGATAAGCTTAATTGCCAAAGTAAGAGACAGTAAAGTAGATCATTTGTGCTCCTTGTGCATGAACTTTAATGTGTATGTTTATCCTGCTTCACTGTATCGCACAAGTACAGTGCAGTCAAACGTTTAGAGGAAATGTGTGTGTAAGAGGTCGTTTGTATGTGGTAGTCTGTGACGCTGTATTATTTGTCGTCTCAACGTGTGTGTGTGTGTGTATGTTTGGATTGACAATTCACTGCACTCTTCCGTATTATCTTCACCCCCCGAGATAGAGGAGTCATAATGTGCTCATCAAGCTGAGACCACCTGTGACATCAGGGGTCGATTCTCAATTCTCACTGCAGAGAAAAGCAAATGCAGAGCACTTACGGATTGCACAGTGCCTGTATATCTTTCTGCATGTACACAACATTTTATTGCTTAAATCCCAGATTTCATCAATTCCTGTTTTGTATGCGTGCATACTTGTGTGTGTGTGTGTGTGTGTGTGTAACTCCTGGCTGCCTCTTGGTTAAAATAACATTACGACCAAAGGCGGAGCAATAACATCCCATCCTGTCAATCCAGATATCATCTCCTCTCACGTAGTGGTGAGTTTAGTGTTGTGTGAGTTGGTGTGTGCGCACTTTGTTCTTTAATGTTGAAAAGACGGAATCTGTGTCTCTATAGGAAAGAGTGAGAAAGGGTTTTCTGTCCAACATTACAGGATGACAATGACGTCTTAAATCAAGGGAAGGTAATCACATTAAAACCTGGAAAATAAGCAGAAATCATGAAGCATTGTCAAATATCAAACTACTGAACATGTAGAAAGTGTGCGTGCAAACAAAAACAATTCTCCTGATATTTACCTTGATTATTAGTTCCATTAACAAATTAGCTCGGGGACATTTCCCCAATACAGTTTGGTTTTAAATAAAAGAGTACATTATTTCCCTCCAGTATAGCAGCAAGTGCAAGTTTACTGGAGTCTGCAGATGAAGGATAGTATTAATCTTATTATCAATAAGTGGTTTGAATATAATGTAAAACTGAGGTCAATGGTAAACAAAGACAATTAATTAAAAACTAAGGTTGTTTTTTTACAGACACGTATCTAGGGAAGATTAAAAAAATAGAAGAAAATAGAAAAATAGGTTATTCTCTTATGAGTAAGTCGCACAAAATTACATATACAATATAAGGGTTCTGTTCGGTCTGTTTATAATGAAGTCAGGAAAGAAGCTCATCGGCCCTCTGGATGGTAAATCCAGTAAAATCATGAGGCGGATGAGCAGATGCTAAATTAAAACAATAGTCCCACTACATAAATAAATCACCGTCCGACCGGGGTTCAGCGTGTGTAAGATGAAGAACGATAGTGTGTGTGTGTGTGTGTGTGTGTGTGTGTGTGTGGGGGAGATTATCATTAATCATCCCCGGTCACCCTTGTCTGAATGTAATCTCATTCGGGATCAGCAGGTAACACAAACCCTCCCACTTTCCTGCACTTTCTTCTGCAGCTACTGTGACTCACGTTACCTTCTATTGCACACTGCTCTGGCACGGGGATCTGCTGCGCCGTGTCTCGGCAGAACGCTCTGACCGTCTCTATATTGTCTCTTAAATAAATGAAGAGTCTGTCAGTGTCTTCGTGATCCTCCTCCTCCTCCTCCTCCTCCTCCTCCTCCTCCTCTCGGCTTTGACCTTCCTCCGCCTCTTTGGCCGCTGTGACGGGCATGGAGCCGTCACCCTGCGGCTTCCTCTCTGCGGGCGGCGCCTCCTCGTGCTGCGAAAGGGCCGACGCGTTGGAGACGTTGCCGTCGGGGCTCGGCTCCGAGCCCTCGCCGTCTTCCCCCGCGTCCGAGTTGACGGAGCGCGAGCGCCCGGCGTGGAGGGCCAGGCTCTTTGACCTCCAGAGAAGGAAAACAAAGTCAAAGTGGTGCCGCATCTTTGAATCTAAATAATTCAGTTATTTGCGCTTCCCGCTTTTGGCAACATGCAGGAGGATGTCTGTGTATCTTTGCTTCAATGAACAAAATCGAGTCGTATCTATTTGATTCAAGGCACTTCTTCCTAAAATCTGAAAAATCCACCTTTTTTAATAAAGTGTTACAATCCAAAAAGCAACCTGTTGAATCTCATTTCTCGTCTCTCCTCCCGGACGGCTTGGCTCAGGCTGTAGCGTCGTTGGGGGGCAGGAGAGTCCTCCTCCAGCTCGTCCTCTCCTCTCCTCTCCTCGCCCATTTTCTCCTCAAAGGCCTGGATCTTCACCTGCAGCCGCTGCTCTGACCCCAAACCTCCCCCCGGAAGAGACGCACCAGGAGTCGGCAGGCACGCCTCATTCCCCCTGCAGAACACACACACACACACACACACACACACACACAGACACACACACACACGCAGACAGGGACAATGTGTTGGGCCTGTGAGAGGAAGCTGGACAGACGCGTTGGGATGGATTTTAATAGCTTCCGTCTCCCTCTTCCTCCCTCTCCCTCCTCCCTTTCTGTAGTTCTTGCTTTCTCACCATGACAGGCTCCATTTCTGTGTCCCCCCCCTTTCTCCCTCGTTGCCGTGTGCCCCCCCCCACTCCCCCGGTGCGCTCACTGATAAACCATCCTGCCCCTCTCAGTCTGTCTTCCAGAGGACCCCAAACAAGGCCTTTGGAAGCTCCTAATCCCGCACATGCTGTTCTTGTTACGGAGAGACATGCGTGTCTCACATGTTGTGCGTGCATCACTTTTATTGTGAATATACAAACCATATGAAAGAAGGAATAAAGACTTAAACATGAAGAATCAAAAGTAAGATTGTGGTATAAGAAAACCCCTTTAATTTTCTCTTTTAGCGATACAAACGCATTGAATGCTTTGCCTCTTTATTTGTATTCTCCTGACTGTGCAAGTTCCAAACATGTTTCTGATTTCTCTCAAACGCTTCACGCAGATGTAGATGTCCAAACCAAATTTGCTCCTCAATGTAGTTTATAACCAAAGTACATTATTCTTTGTCATTCATCAACACCTTTCAAAGCCCGTGAAACACCGGTGAGATAATGACGCCGACGGGTTACCGGTTCCTTTAAGTGACGGGTTCACTTTCCTCCCATCAGTTGGATGAGAATATGAATACCACTCGTGTGTCTCCACAGGGAACAAGAAAAGCCCACCAGCTCAACCGCGTGTCCCCTGACCTGCGGTGCGTGGCCGTGCTCTCCTCCAGCCGCTGCCCCAGCAGTCGGGCGATAGCGGTGAACGAGTTGCTCATCCGGTAGATGTCTTTGCCGCAGCCTCCCAGCAGAGACGGGTAGCGGTCGGTAAGAGCTCTGATCTCCAGCAGCAGCGTGTGGTGGAAGCTGTGCTCCATGCTGCCCAGGCAGGACACCAGGTAGACCAACACGCTGAGAGCATGAGTCTGGGACACAGAGGGAAAGGAAATATACCGTCACAAAATATGGTCCCATTATAAAACCAAACAGAGAAATATAAAAAGAAAGAGAAAATTGTTTGCTAACAAGTAACAAAACAGTCGCGGTAACTTTTTGAAAACAGAAAAATTATTGGAATGGCAACAATGTTTCACCTGCTCACCTCTCTTTATGTACAATGTCGCATGCTATGCAATACCACTATCAATATAGACCTGGTAAAACAAAATAAACTTTCAGTTAATCGGTTTTTAAACTGCCCACCGGTTATTTAACAGAAAAACACACGTCGCGAGGTGTAAACTAGTCAACGGGAATCACGGCGATAACAGATCAGCACAGCGGATGTGGTTTGGCAAAGGCACCGTGTTTAAGAGCACAACCAAGGGCAACAAAACACGAGGAAGGAAAAGGACTGGGTTCTACTAAAAAAAAAACTCTACTCCCTAAGCTTGTAAAAAGCGTACATAGCTTTAACGGTAAAAAGAGACCTCTCTGTCCTCCTATTAGAGACACCGTGATTGATTAATGGAGGGAGAGAAAGAGCGACGGAGCCAACCTGTGCCTAACGAGCTAAAGAAAACCCCCGTGACAAAGAGAAGAATGCCGTTACAACACAGAGGGGGCATGTTTCACAAGGCCCTTCTGTGGGCTGCTATATTTAAACGGGATGTCAAGACCGCCATTAGAGAACTCGACTTCGTACTGTAACAACATACTTAAGTAGGTATCCAGGGGTTTGTGAGCCGCGGGTGCCAACTGCAGATGCAAGAACGTTACTAGCACGTGAGGTATTTCTCCACACACTTTCAAACTTTCACTGTTGTTGGGATGTTTTACCTTTTGAGGACTCACTATAATATCTTTGGACAGATGACATATGAGCATAATGCATAAAACTCCTGCAATGCGCATTAGGAAGTTACAAAATCCCAGATATGTTACATTTAATCATAACTGTTAATGTACACAAAAAAATTGTGAAAGGACAGAGAAATAAATCAGCTCTTTCTGCCTCGTGTGTGTTCTACTACACAAACAGACACACACACATAAACACGTCCTCTGACAAAGACAGAACTTGGCTCCAATCGGTTTCATTGGAGCCCCATTTCCTAATGGGGTAGAATATATGCTAAAGCATCTGTCTGAAAACTTCATTTTAAGAATAAACGATTCACAGTAGAAAAAAAACAAGAGAAAACTGCATCTTTCCAGCGATGCGTCTAAATCTGTGCTGCTCCCTTGTTTGCACGGATGCTTAGTTTCTTCCCCTTATTGTCAGTAGCACACTGGTCTCTGCTTTCTCTGGAGCTGGCACGCTAACAAGCCCCATGGAGATACTCCCGTGTGCATGACTGTGTCCTTTGTTTCCCACGGCACATTAATCACTTGCCACAATTGTATCAGTGCGGGGGGAATTTATCCTTTCAAAACATTTCTATCTGAACACAGTCACAGTAGAAAAATACAAAGCCATTGCGATTAAGTTACTTTTTGTGAGTTACACACTTTTGTTTGTGCACCAAATGTTTTTCCAGGAGTTATTATTGAGCTGAACACTTAAATCCCATGGACTTAGGTTATGTTACGGCTCCATGAAAGCAGCGCCCAACCTCTTTGGCTCGCAACCCCTTGTGCGGTTTTATATGTATAAGAGCTTTTAGTGAAGAGTTTCTCTTCACCTTCTCAAATGGTCATTTTCAAAAAGGTGATATAGTCGTGGTAGTCATTTAGAAGTGTCTTTCGTCGAGACTCATTGGAGGTGTAACGATGTACAAAATGTTGAGAACTTTTTAACAGGGCAGCCTTATAATCTTAACGTTCTCATTTAATTGAATTGGAAGGTGTGTCCAAACCTTTGACTGGTACAGACAATACTATGAGTATTAAGGTACAACATAATAAGAAAGGTCATAATAAAAAGAAGCAGCAGGGATGCAAAGAAAAAACAGACACAACGACCCTAAAATATAATTTAAATCTAACTCTCTTCAGGAGGTAAAAGGAAGCCAGAGAGAGTGTTGGGCAATCGTGATACAATCACGTACAAATGGACCCCAGTGAGAATCTTTTCCCAGAAAATCGACGGTTATTTTCCAAATGGTTCCAATGTGAGGAAAGACACTGAGGTCTTGTGTGTGTGTGTGTGTGTGTGTGTGTGTGTGTGTGTGTGTGTGTGTGTGTGTGTGTGTGTGTGTGTATTTGTGTCTGTCTTGGGTTGGCAGGTTGTTTTGACAAGAATACTGAGGAGGAAAGATTTCCCTGAAACAATACAAAACTGTATTATGGTTTCTAGCTCCATAATGTGCGTGTGTGTGTGTGTGTGTGTGTGTGTGTTTGTTTGTTTGTCAGGAGGGTTGTTGAACTTCCTTAAATGGACCCAGAGAAGAAGAGAGAGGGGGGGGGGGGGCGCTCAAGCTGCCCTACTGTCACCTTCATCGCTCTGCACACACACATTATTGACTCGCTGTAATGTCGGCCTTCATGCTACCGATGTGTTGCATGGACGTGTAGTACTTGATACATCTGCAAGGCGATGATGAACACGATCACTGTATACTGACCCTATGTGAGAACAGTACTCCCTCCTGCCAACATATTATTGGCAGCACCCAGCTGAGGTTGGCATCTTCCAAACTATCTTCACATCGGGTGTTTACTCTCTGCCCTGGAGGAGAACGTCTTTGCCAAGAGGTTGAATTCAGTATTTTCACAAACTCTGATCATTTTTCAAAACAAATCTAGAGACATTTTCAAATCAAGTTGTCTCTTTCTGGCACAACTGTCAATAAACAGCCACATGTTTAAAGCCTGGCCAACAAAACCCTCTTGGCTACTCTGAACAACCTTCAGATAGGAAGAAACCCGGATTTCTACCATGAGATGGAGAGTCTACCGCTACACAATGTCACCATAGCCATCCATTCATTTACCTTGGAGCCACAAATGTCCACCACATGGGGGCAGCAGATGAAAAGTCAGAGGATCACCCAAAATTAGTAGGACATATTGTCTGGGGACCATGAATGTCTGAGCCCAATTTCATGGCAATCTGTCCAATAGCTGTGGAGACATCATCCATAGAGCCATTCCCCTGGCTCAAAATGAAGGTGGGGTCCGGAGCCAAGCAGCTAAGGAGACCACACTTCTAACTGACTAATGACTGCTAAGATAATTAACCTGTAATCAGCAGCTCAAGTGTTTCTGCAGAGGCCGTTTTTTAAACATTTTCTTGCGGTTAATATTGCCTTAAATTTGGTTGTTCTTGTACCATTAGGCTTACAGGGCGGCTCTTTGTTGTGTTTCTTCTGTTTCTTTTCAACCGTGGGGAGACAGAACCCTCTGAAGAGCCGGCGTGTGCTTGTTTAGAGGAGAAGCTCCGCAACACGGATGTGTGTGGTGTCAGACTGCAGTTAAGATCTCCGGATGTGCCCGGTCTGCCCGGCGGGTGAGTGTGTGCTTTACACTTGGCAGGACAACAGAGAGCCGGTCATGTGAAAGTGCAGCCAGTTCCTCGCCACTCGTTGGAGAAATCACTGCTGCCCGTTTTGTGTGTGAACCCCCACTTTGAAACACAAGCGGGGTGTATTCATAGGATTATTCCTAAGCCATTTTAAAAGGGATTGACAGAAATTTTGCAGCCTATTCATGTTTAACACAAACTGACCATACAGAATATATTTGCTGCAGACATTTCATTAGTCATTTCATCAATCATTTCAATAAAAAACAGCTCTATATTTTGGGAAATACATTTATCCTCTTTCTTGCAAAGATTAGATGAGAAGATCAATACTACTGCAATGTAAATATGTAGTTGAAGATCAAAAAAGCCATGGGTAAGCTTATAGCTTAGCAGAAAGACAGAAAGAATATACTTCTCTCAGCACCTCTAAAGCTCACTGATCAACACGTTGTAACGTGGTTGTTTACTCCGTACAAAGAGTCCCTCATATGCATCTACCTTCAGTATCAACTGCAAATCACTGCTACGCATGCAAGCATGAACTTGGGTGAATGTGTCAGTGTTTCTAGTACCTCACTGATGATACCCACGGCACCATGGATTTTGGCCACTTTACCCAAGAGAGCGGGGCATTGTTGTCCCACAATCCTCAGCGTTGGCAGAAAGCTGACCAGCGAAGAAGGGCTGGCCTGTGACACGTCCACCAGCGAACCGAGTAGGGCCTCGGTGAGGGATTGGTCTCCTAGGTACCCGACTAGTGCGGGCACTTGGGGGCTCAACATCTGTTCGGGGGAGGGAGACACAAAGTTTGAGGTGGAAAATGTTTCATTGCTTTTGCGTTTGCATTGTAGCCGCGACCCCGTCACTGTTTTGGTACCATCGCTCGATGGAAAACGTCCAATGTTCCAATGATGAAGGCTTGAGGTGAGAGCAGCAACCGTGGAGCGGGATTAACACACCGGTGACTAATAAAGAACAAAGCTTGACTGAAGAACTGTCGGTACAAAGTGAGCTCGTGACCAGTTTCTGTACACGTTATCTGGTCTGGTCACACTGGAACGCACCAGAGCGGACTGGATCAGACTAACGACGCCCACCACGGCCCTCCTGCTGCAACTTCACGAGTCCCTCGTTCTGGATGATTATATTAATATCATGTGCAGGGAGAAGATGCTCGACTCCATAAAAACAAAGTTACGCCATTTAAAAGTTCCATATTCTGATCGTAGTGCGTAGTTTCAACACTGCATCGCTTCCAGTTAATGAATACTAGGCTGCAGGAGATGTGGTAACTTTTGAGATGAATGCACACAGTCACAAACAAAGTGATTTGTTTTTCTGTGTGCTGGGAGGAGAATAGAATAACTCCAGATGGCTGGTTTAGTTTCTTGAGGAGTGATATTATCCACGTTTCACCACCGTGTGTTTGCTGGCATGTGGTACTTTCCCTCTGTGCCGACCCCCAGCAGCTCTGCTTCAAAATATACAGGATTAAGGGGGTTCAAATACAGATACTCTGTATATATAAACTCCACATGCACCGCTCTTTTTCAGCACTTCAATTAAAGCTCCAGTGGATTTTTTCTATATTTCGGCATGACCTCATTACAGGATATTGTAAAGTTGAATAGTAAGATTTCTGATTAAGTTTGTCTCAGGGGCAGTAATGTTACACAAAAGCCACATATGTACCTACTTGTAATAAAAGTCTAATGTATTTTAACAACCTCATTATTATTTAGTAATACTACAGTACCAGTAGTACTGGAATAGTACTGGTACGAAAAACTAAGTACACGGCTGATGACAACAAAGTGGATGACAACAAAGTGGTTGACAACAAAGTTGTTGTAAAAAAAATGATGAAACAAAATCCAACAGCTGGTAAAGTGAGAGTGGAATAAGAGGGGTTCCCTTCGGCCCACGACACAACAAAAACTATTTTTGAATGTACAGCGAATACTTCAAAAGTGCGTTGTGCTTTATTTCCAAATCAAATTACACAACAAACGGCGCTCACCAGTGGATGTTGCTCGGCAACGATTTGGATAAGTCGGATTAGGTGTTGCTGCTCGGGGGACTCCAGCTGTGACATCATCGCGGTGAGGTTGCCCAGCTGACAGTGGATGGTGTCTGGTTGTCTGGGGTAGACCGAGGGCAACACTCTTAGCAGCATGTGGTTACCTGCCAGAGAGAGAGAGAGAGTTTATTTCAGTAAAACTTGTTGCCAAAAATAAATATGGTGACCACCATCTCAAACAGCGGAGAAAGATTTGTCCACCTGTGTTCTCAGTGAAAGGCACAAGTTCACCCCAGTGTGTTCATAGAATGCCCAACACACAAAACATTATCCCAAAATGAAACCCCAAAATCCCTTTGAGTTACACTGATAGAGGTTTTTACTTTGTGAGGGTAAACTAAATAAAACAAATGACATAGGATTTAGTGAAAGAGACACCATTAGTTGCATTAGTTTTAGCTGCATGTATTGTACCTAATAAATAAACCTACTTATCTCTAATTACATATCAACGTTGCCACATTCCCAGGTCTCGAACCCATGACTCTGTGACTATAATAATTATTGTATATTACTACCAAGAAAACTGAACTCAAGTAGCATGAAACCTGAGTCTTCCTTCCAGCTGTTCGTGGGGGAGCTCACGATTCCCCATCATGACACAACATCTGTGTTCAGTAAATAAGATGTTTTCCATTTGTTGTCTTTATTCCTTCAGTAACGCAGAAAGAAAGTCCGTGCTGACGCACAATTGTAAAAAAAAAAGAAGGCATTTTTAAAGGACGCAACCCAACAAAACCTTATGAAACATCTTTAAATGGTTCACTGAACAAAGACTCTTGCTCTAAAACGGAAAGTTTGTCAAGATTTAAAACAATGGCTTCTGTATCAGATGCCTGACAACAACATGTATTTTAAGTTATATGTTTTACCACAGCGACCGTTTGGATTTCAATATGAAAGTTGTAAAAAAAAAGAGTGTGTTAAAGATGCTTAAGGGTTTAAATCATAGACTAATAATAAGTGGTGTTTATAATTGGGGTTGTCGTCTAACAATCCTTCAAATTTGGTGCAAGCCCAAATCCCCATCGCAGGATTCTTGCCACCATAGATTTAAATTCAAGTAGTGATCGCAGAATGGCCTTGACATGTAATTGTGAAATCACAGAATTTATGACCATGAATCATACTTTTATTTGTCCTGAACATCTGGTCCATAATATTTCAAATGGCTACGAGTTTAAGGTGAACCGCCATATTTCATAAAAGCTTAAAAATAGCAAAATAACTGAAATAACTGTTTAAAACAGGTGATCCACAGCTACAAATCACTCTAAACACAGGTGTTATCCTGTTAGGGATGACTCGTACGGATCAAACGAAAGGACGTTCTGTACTGTTCTGTGCCGGGGCAGAGAAGAGAAGAAGACGGAACATAAATGTTTTGAAGACGGTCGCCTGCTCTTGTTATGTTCTTATCTCTGTAATCATAGATCACAACTTAGGCCGTATCCGTAAGATCTCACATATCCGTTTCTGCACTCGCGGCACAAATCACCATAAAAAGAGACAGGCATGTACAGAAAAAGAGGGCGGGTAATAACATTTAACGGTCTGTTCGGAGGAATGTTAAAAGGCAGCAGGAGACGAGTGTCTGCACAGAAACACACAGGACGTCATTACATTACATTACACGTCATTCAGCTGACACGTTTATCCAAAGCGACTCACAATTTTGTAGAGCGCCAAAATGCCGAGATCAGCACAAATGACATCCAGAGGGATGTATTTGGATCGCTTTACGGCTTACACGTGTTTCACAATAGTCATTTTGTGTACGTTTGTCCCCTGAGTCGTACACCAGGCATCTCTGGTGGAAGAGGGTCGGATAAACGGTCAAATCGAAGAAAAAAAAGAGACGGAAGCCAAACACTTCCCAGAAAATATATGTCTTTGGGTATTTGTGCATTTTTGTTTCATGAGTGAGTCCAACGCTGCGGCACAGCTGGAGGCACGCAGCCATGTCCCCTTACGCGTACACAAAGGTCTAAATATTTCCTGAGTGACTATTGCAAGGTTTAAACTCAATGTCCATCCTCCCCCCTTCCCCTAGATAGCTTCAGCCGAACAGACTCTCACTGACTGTGTGTCAGACAAAACGTCCTGTGCCCGCTGACTGACTGGTTCATGGTGATAAAATACGCAGTTTCTCGCAAATCCTTGATAGAGATTTAAAATCCCACAAGAAAACTATCGACTTATCTTTTTGACAGTAAATCATGTCGATTCACATCAAACTTCTGCTGACATTAACATTAACGATGTGCAAAACATTCATGGGAATGATGCATAAACTCACAATGTAACGAAATGCTGTACATTTGATGGATCTAAAACAGTATCTTACAGTTTTTCATAGATCTCAGGTGATGTTTCATTTCGTCTTTGTACTGAGGTCACGCAAAAAAAAGTGGCATCACGTTTTGTGTTTTACACCAGAAAGCAACGTTTAAACCGGATCAAACACATTGTGTAGTTCAACATTAGTCCATGCGATCTCAATTACCTCACATAAAGCTCATCACATCACAGGTCTGTTCATTTAAGCTATATGGTAGATTAATATTGCTGTGTTTTGCTCAAACACATTAGTCTTTCTATGTCACAAGTTTTCCTTTTATCTCACTAAAGATTTGCCCTCACCGGTTATTGTGAGGCACAAAGGAAGCCTCAGCTACACACCAAATGCTTCTTGTCAATGTGTTCATCCTGGACGTCGTAGAACCTTCCAGAAGGTCAGAACATTGTGTTTCTAAACGTTATATTGTGTTTGTTTTACAGCCACTCGCCATCAGAGATTGAGGATTACGAGCCAGATGCTGCAGGTCCTCGCTCAAGGTGCTCTTGTTATTTACTGTTTGCATTCATGTGAGTCAGTATATTTAAAATGATTTAGCAGGTCTATATTGTTAATGTGGACTGGAAAAGAGATATGTTTTTAAGTGCTTTAGTTATTCGTTATTTTACGATTGTATTATTTCTTCATTCCAAACACGCTCTAAATTTTGATCGTCGTTGAGGAATACAAATGTCCTACATCATTTGTCTTAAAGACATGTTACAAACTGCACCAATTATGTAGTTAATGTGTATTTGAGTGTTTCATTTGGGGGAAATCGAATGCAAAAGTAGTGGGTTGTAAATAAACGGTAATAACCTGACATTATTAACTCAAATGAAACCTTTTATCATGACGCATTTATTCTTTTACTACCTATTAGAGTGAAGCGCTTCATAAAAGCATCCCAAAGATGCTCTGAAAAAAAGCTGAATTATATGCTTTCTGCTAATAAAATATGAAAGCTTAATGAAACACGTTGAACAAACATTGTTTTGTTTTAGAGATCTAAGCAAAGCAGCGTTTGCCACTCAACACAACTCCCTCTCTGTCTGTGGAGCTGTTTTGTGCAGATAACAAGGGAACAAGTGTGTGTTTCAGTCGGTATTTGGGAGAGAGAAAGCAGACACAATGAAAGAGAGACACCGGCAGAGTGAAAGATGGAGGGAGGGGGAGCGAGATAAAATCTCATGAGGAAGTCATTATTTCCCTCCCCTTTCGAAAAAACACACACATACGCGCAGGGATACATGCTGACAAACACTCACCACACACTAATTCACATACAGTATACACACACAAAAACGTACAAACCCATATGGTGGGGCGGACAAATAAATAAATAAACCGAGCAAGAGAACAATAAACCTATTTAGAAACCGTTAATGTCTGGCTCCTACACACACACACACACACACACACACACGCACACACACATCTCTGCATGAGGCAGAAATCAGGAAAGTTGGTGTTCTGTGCTTCCTCCCCCCTTCCAGTGCTTCTTCCCGCTCCCCTTTCTCTCAGTGAGTCGAAGGGGCTGCCGCAATATCTGGTTACAACACACAGCACCTCCAACGACGCATTACTCACCGCCTCGCTCGCTCGCAGGCCTCAGAGCCACGTTCGACGCTTGCGACAGAGTGAAAAGTTTTCAAGAGGATGGAACATTTAGCAAGCTCTTTGCATATTTACTAACTTACTCACGGGGTGCTCTTCCCGTGTTTGCAAAATTGTGAGTAATAAAATGGTTTATGAGATTTTGAGACGGGGCCCATTTCAAGACGCTGTTTGTGGTGTCAATTTAAAACAGATCACTAGTCTCTCAGGCCTCTTAAATAGTGATTAGTTTGATCAGTCAAGCGTGTCCAAGTCAACAAAGGAGGCAACAATCTCCATTTGCAGATTGCAATTAGAAAAGCACACATGGCAAACTGATTTGAAAGAGAGAGAATATAAATCAGTTGCTATGTTTACAGACAGGGTGGTTGCACTAAGGATTAAGGCCTGATCACTATTTGATCATCTGACCACTTGTGTTTATCTGTAGCTATGTCACTGTCTCCTGATGTACATTGTTATGCGTTTAATAGCGTAAAGGCTGCAGGTTGCGTTTAACGGTTAATGGAGCAAACCAACGCACTAAAGAACTATTGTCAATGTGCGTGTGCAGCGCACGTAGCCCCTCTTGGGTAGAAGAACTTTACACTGCCGGGCTTCCTGCCAAAGGATTGCTCAGCATTCAGAGAGAGAGAGAGAGAAAGAGAGGGGGAGGGGGAGGTGGGGAGTCATTGGGGGGGAGGGACAAATATTGTATCAGAGAGTGAGGGGTTGAAAAAGACAGAAGTGGACCTGCAGCACAGTAGAAAGTGAGACAGACGGGGAGAAGCAGCAGAGATTAAAAAGAAGCCAGTTGCACTCGCACAGACACACACACACACACACACACACACACAGACAGGCAGGTTAGGGAGAGGACCTGAAACTTAGCAGACACACACTCTTTAAACTCTCTCTCTCTCTCACACACACACACACTCAGTCGGCGGCAGCAGCATGTTCCTTCGGAGGCTCCCGCAGGCCGTGTGCGCGCTGCTGGCGTGCGTGTGCCTGATCCTCGCCTACGAGGACGAGATGGAGGTCAACTACGCCGACAACTACTACAACGAGATCACGGAGGGAGAGAACCCGGAACGTAAGTGTTAAACTGGGCTGCGTATCTGACTGGGATTCTCAGGAGGACATGTTGCCATTTCATTTAATCCCGGCAGCGTGTAATTGATTCCTTGCTGGATTCCTGCACGGGGGGTTGGGGGGAGGGGGGGTTGTGAAAGGTGAGTTAGGGACTTTATAATTTATCATCACTTTATGTTCAGTATCATCACTGGATCTGACAAATATGCTGTGCGAGCAGAACTTTTAAACTGACAAGAAAGAGCTGGACTTTTAATACTGATTTTAATGTAGCGATGGAGGGGAAACAAAGGAGTGAGAGTCGGGGGGGGGGGGGTCCAGTTACACAGAAGCCGCCTCACAGGCTGCAGAAAAAAGTCAGAGAAATAGAGTAGCGGCGGTTAATTGTTGGGGATTTGCTGGGTGCTCTGCGTTTGATATGATAAGGCGGCTCAAAATAAGGTGATAAAGAAGAAGAGAGAACAGATCGCGGCGCGTAGGGTGCAAAGACTCGGCAGGCACGGACTGTATGGGACGAGCAGCATCAAAGAAAATGCTGAGCAAGAAAAAACACGTTACATCATGAATGACTGGTCACCCACCGCAGAACCACCACAGTGCACCGCGTCATCAGAAGATACAGTTGCCTCAAACGTTCTTGATGATCCCGATGAGAAAGTGCATGTGCAATTAATCCCTCCAAGCTTGGATTTGGCATTAGCTTGTTGTCCTAAAACTGGCAGGAAGTGTAATTGCAGGAAGGTTCTGCTGCGGGCATAGCGACCAGATTAAACCGAGGAAAGAGGTGGGAGCAACGGGGTCGAAGAGACGCACATTTTCATAGTTGGCTTGCTGGACTGAGGGGAGAAAGTTAAATCACGTGGGTCACATGCAGTTGTGTATGCAGGTGTTAAGAAAGGGGGTGAGGGGCGGAGAGAGGGAGGCCCGTAGGAAGACACAGATCAGTGCATCTGACCTGCTTGTATCTGGTGGGAGTGGAATTTACATCCACAAGGGCAGAGAGGTCGTGACACAGTTCATGTTTTAAATGAATGACAGAGGGAGACGTGCAGCACTCCTCCTCCATCCAAACGCTTTTCTTCCGTCTGCTTTTGTGCAGGTAAAGTACTGTTTGCAGATTTATTTCTCCAATTGCTTGGTGAAATGACACAAATAAATGTCATTCATTCATTAAGGAATAGTTTTACAGGCAGTAATGGCTCACTGAAATAATAAGAGGACAAAAAGACACTACTCACTCGCAGAGATTTGTCTTTGGCAGACGTGCACTTTTGGTTCGGTTAAGTTAGAGTGTGTGAAGCTTCTGTCTAATCGCTTTGAACTTTGGGGAACGAGCAGACAAAACACGTCCTGCCGTCCCGTGATAACTGATAACTCTTAACGGGTCTAACGGGTAGTGAGAGCGGCCCGAACGTCAATCAGAGCGGTGCGTCTGGCACTTTGTCGCTCTGCAGGCTTTGCTTTATCTCGCTCTCCTTCTCCCAGCAGCTCTTTCCTTTTCATTGTAAACAAAACCTTCCTCTTCCTCCCCTCTGTGGCCTCGTTCACGCCGGGAGCCCAGATGATGTTTCCGGGAAAGCAAAGTGGTTTATGAGTCAATTGTTTCTCTCTCAACAACTCTCCCCTAACAACCTCATTTATCATTTCCCGCATCTTTACTCATCATTTTACCGGTTTTCCAGCTATCTGTGTTTAAGTCGATGCACTCATAAATCACTCCGATCTCAACACAGATATAATACAAGCCCATAAAAACTTTCTGAGTATATCGTTTTCTCCAAATACTGATATCATCACACTTTTCAGTTTTTGTCATGGTCAAATAAACCCAATGACAGTAACTGTGAATCCATGTGTACATTGCAAAAAGAAAAATACAAATTTCTCACACGTGGCCCATTTACCAAAATGCAAAACAAATACGAGCTACAAAAGGTGGTAACTGCTTCCATCTCCTGAACCATTATGGAAAAATCAGCAGTTGAGACAAAAGCAAATCCATCTCTACATGCGTGCTTTACAAACGTCAACCACTTTATCTCGTTTGTTCTTTAGCTCAATGTTTCTCTCCCCTCTTCTTACAATTCCTCCACGCAGCCACACCGAGTCAAGCGCCCTGCATTTCCCGCGACCTGACCAGATGGGACAAACTCTTCTCAATGATGGAAAGCAGCCAGATGAGAGAGAACATGCTGCTTCAGTATGCGGATGACATCACCAAGGTGGAGATGGCTTCACTGCGTGCAGAAATCCTCAGGTTGGTTGAACAAAGACAAAAAAAAGCTAGAAAACAATTGTTTTTGAGAGGTTAGGACAATTGGTTGATGGATTAAATGAATACTTTAGACCAGTGTCTTGAATTCATCCTGTTCCCGAACTCCTATGGTATCAATTGGGAACAAAGAATGGTTTCAGGTCAAATGCTGGTTCAAACATGTAACGTTGGTCCATTCTGGTCAGGTTCATAGTCCAGTATGGTGGCACCTGTGGAACTGCAATGGAGTCAGCAGGAAGAAAGATGGCGTCGCTGTTAGAGAGCCGCTTCAAAGAAACCATGGAGCGCCTCAAGCCCAGGGATTCGGCTTCAGGTGCTGCTGCTGCTGCTGCTGCTGCTGCTGGAAATTCTGTGTGGAATTTGAACCAGCTGGAGGACAAGCTCCAGCAACTCCTCGCCGCAGCACGAACGCAAACTTCGCGCCTCACCAAGCTAGAGACCAGCTGCCACAGCGGCCCAGCAGCGGGGATGGGGTTGAATACGAAGCCGGGATCCAAGCTCCCAGAGGAGCAAGAGGTCACGCCGCGAGAGGCGGCTTTAGACGGGGTGCTGGCTGCCATGCAGAGGGCGAGGGTGGAACTGGAGGAGGTGCTCAGGTCATCCAGGCAAAGATTACTACCCGCAGGTGAGATGTCCATCTTAACGTCAGCCATTTCTGCGTCTGTCATTACCTGTTGCTCTCAGATGTGTTTACCTTCACCTTTCTCAACAATGGCAGAAGAAAATAACAACGTTGGAGTTTGACCACTGAGGTCAAACTCCAAGTAAACGAAGGAGAAGCCCTTGCTGGTGAACAACTAATCACGCAGCATGTGGTTGTGCCAAATACCTTTCGCACTTAGTCTGTATGTCTCCAGGCGTGTTGCTCCTCCTCAAGTAGCAACCGATTCTTTTCTCTTCACAATTACAACGCGGCCAGTTCGAACATGGAGGAGACGGGTCACTTTGTATAATGTTCAATAACTGGATCTTATTGACGTCTGTTAAACATTTATTCACAACACAACAACGACAAGTCTCATTTAAGACTTTACTTAAATATATGAATAAAGTTTTGCGTGTTTAAAGGTGATAATGGAAGCCAACCAATGCAGGAAAGGATAACGCAGAACTTTAGTTGGACTCACTGAACACAAACATGATATTCGATGGGATTGCATGGCATATGGTTTCCATTATCAGAGCTACTACTCTGGTTTATCTTGCTTGAAAAAACACTGACTAATTCCAATGCAACTTTAGAGGTTAAGTGACTAAGTGTGAGTTGGGGAGACTTGGACCAAGTGGAGTCCTACAAAAGCACCACTAAAGACAATTTCCTTTCACAGAATGAATTAAGAACTGCAAAAAAAAAAAAGGATGCGTAATATTATTTATGCACGTGCACACACCTTTACAGGCCGGACGTATAAATCTGGCCTACATAACGACCAGAGGGAGATGAAATCATTAGCCGGTCGCCACAAAAACCACAGCCAAGCACCCCGGTAAACAGAACCAGATGGAAACCATCCTGAACACTCACACACACACACACGCTCACACACACACACACACACACACACACACACACACACACACACACTCACACTCACACTCAGCATGTTCACCATTATTTTCTGAGTGGCAGAAACCTGAGACAAATGAAACAATGATTTGGCATCCAGGAGAGAAAAAGGGAGAAGAGGAGACTAATCAGGGTACAGAATAGACGAGAAGACCAAAAGAAAGGATGATGTAAAAATATATATATATATATATATATATATATATAAAATGGGACAAAAAGCAATAGTTTTCCATAAGGATAAATTAATCTCAGTTGTTTTACGCACCAAATAAAATGTCTCAAACAACAAGGGTTTTCAACTCAGAGGGACTTCAGAGGGGTAAATGAGAGTGAATGAGTAGGTTTGAATGATTAGAAAGAGAGGAACAGCGGAAATGATGAATGAAGCAGAACAGACCAATGAACCGGGTGATCCAGATGACCCAGGGGGGGAGGAGTGTGTGCGGGAGTGTGTTATTGCATCTATGCATTATTAAGGAAGGACAAGAAACTCCCATGGCTCACAAACTCATCACCTGAACTTAAACTGAACTTTAACATAAGACCATGTGGTAATATAGCACAGGCTCAAGATAGCTTTAGTTAAATATGTCTCCTACCAGGAAAGAGTTCAAATCAAAACTACAGAAGCCAAGTTAACATCAAAGTATTCCCCATATGACCCAGATCTCTGACTCTCACTTCTAACTTTATGATTTCTTTTCTCGTGTGAAATTTTCTTTGTTTCAAATATCTTTAGCATAACAATTTAGAATAAGAAACGTTTTCTGTATGTTCCCCCAATGATTTAAGTAGAATCAATGGAACCAATTCTGTTTTCATCCTCAGGTTTAGAGACGGCCCTCCTCTTCCCTATGCGCTCCCGTCGAATCTACACCTCCGTCGTACCGGACGCCCCTCTCTCCCTCTCCTCCTTCACCGTCTGCATGTGGGTGAAGCCGACCGCGGTGTCCAACAGAACCGTGCTGTTCTCCTACGGCAACCGCCGCAACCCGTACGAGATCCAGCTGCTCCTGGGTCACACCTCCGCGCACCTCACCGTCGGAGGGGAGGCTCACCTGGTGGAGGCCCGGGGGGTGGTGAGCCCCGGAGGCACGTCGGAGTGGGTCCACTTGTGCGGGGCTTGGTCTTCCGAGAGGGGCCTGGCGTCCCTGTGGGCAGCTGGGAAAAAGGTGGCCTCCTCCCCCGGAGTGGCGGAGGGGCACGTCTTACCCGACGGAGGCTCCCTCCAGCTGGGGCAGGAAAGAGCGAACGGGGTGGCGGGGTTCGAGGGAGGGCTCGATCCAAAGGTGGCGTTCGCCGGGAAGATGACGGGGGTGAACATGTGGGACAGGGTGCTGTCAGAGGAAGAGATGTCCCAGCTGGCTTTGCGGGAGGGTCCCGGCGCCAACCCAAGGGGGAACGTGGTGGCGTGGGGGGTGACGGAGATGGTGCCGCACGGAGGCGCTCAGTTCATCAACTAGCAGGTGGTGTAACTCTTCATCGTCATTGTGAACATAAGCTTTCATGATGAAACTGAAGAGAGCAACTTACAAATCACCTTTGTCCCTAAAGTTTGACTTATTATGTGATTTTTGTCTTCATCATCTCCATTGCTATTATTGCTGCAATGAATTTTACTGTAAATGTTTGAATGAGTGAGAGACGATGCTGCGAGAGACTGAAATGTCTGAACCGAGGTCATAATATAAAAACACACACTCACGCTGACGTACATTCAGCTTAGATAACTTAGCAGAAGAAGAAGCGCTGCATTTACCAAAGACTCTACCAATTAGACTACAGGGAAGACAAAGAGTCGTTTGTTCCCAGCAGACAGCGGGGAAATAAGAGGTCACGGACAATTACACAAGATTCGCTTGCAACGGTAGAACGATGCAGTTTGAACAGTAACAATAGCGTTTGATCTCTTTCTACGGAAACAGTTATTCAATTATCAATTCAACACATTCAAGACCGTAATATGTTCCATCTTCTACAATTGTTGACTGATTGACAGTCGTCTGTCCCAATTACAAGTGAAAGCAGAGTTTCCCATTCATTTGTTAATAATATGTTGCCTTGTGCAGTGCAGCATTTAATACAGGTCTTTTTGCTTTAATGCATTGACAACCAGCAACTGCAGAAACAGCTTCAGGCAACATCATTTAAGCAACTTTTTAATTAATTCTCATACTGTCCTTGAATTTTTGAAAGCTTTTAAATCATTTTTAAGATCTTACATTCCCAAACATATACTCAAAGTGTTTACATTCATATGTTATTGTTAGTTTATTTTGTGAGGTAACCATAGGGTTATATTTGTGTGTTGTCTTTTCAAACTACGTAATGTAATTGGAGTAAAACCATTAGATTTGTAACCCAAGATTGACATTGTTTATTTTGTCATTGTTAAAAGAAAATGAGGGCAATGTTTACAGACTAATTCTTTATGAAATAACTTGTGTTATAATGTAAATTACTTTTGATGTTCTTGTGAAAAGGTGAAAATGAATGTATTTTGCACATAAATATATTTTGTATAACATGACTGTATGAATGGAGAGTGAGTGAATAAACATCTCATGTTATAATATATTCTCTTGCAGTCTCAGTGTTTTTCTTTCATTTCATAATCTGTTTAAGTCCTATTAAGGCTTATAGGTACAATCAATAAATACAGTTTAATTGGTCACATTTTCTGTTTACTCAAAGCTTTAGGCACAGTAAAATGTCTTGACGGTATTTTTTTGACAACCGTTCCTTCAATCAACTTCACACTTGCCTGATGAATTGCAGCAAAGAAGTACAATTTCAAATACGAGCTCCTGACAAACTGATTAGTAGTTCCTTATGTTCCCACTGTATATTTGGCACAATCCCACGTCATCTGAGACTAGGGGTGTAACGATTCATTTTAACAACGATTCAGTTCGAATCTCGATTCAATTCATGGACAATCTAGGTTAATTTAGAACGATTCGATTTGATTCAGTGACTTGAAATCGATTCAGTAACTTTACTGGACAGTGCAGGCAAAGTTTCCGAGATCCCTGTTGTTTCTTGTAAGGAAATCAGGTTTAAATTAATTATGGATATTATAAACAAGCAAACAACAATTAATGGCAAATGTATTGACCTTTTATTTGAATGAAGTGCCATTTTCAATGTAAACATTACACAATAATTACACAATGTTTGGATCAATTTACAGAACCCCGGATTTTCAACCACATTGTAGGGTCGCATGTTTTTACAGATAAACTTGGTAATTGTTACTGTGATGTTGAGTTTGGTGCTGGCGAGGCCTGAGGTGTCTGCAGAGCTGGAGTTACCTGCTGCTGCTGCTGCTGCAGAGGTAACGCTGCTAGAGGTCCTGACTGTCGGCGTGTTGTTTAATCCCACGGCGCCTTAATAGATGGCTGGAAAGATTCGTCGTGTTTCCGTGTTTTTTTAGTTGTCTTCTACATATTCTACAAACAGCGACCGACTTATTTAGACACCTCCGTGTTTGCAAAAGCCAAAATGTTTCCACGCGCTGGATCAATAAGTTTCTTTGTAAATGTCTCGCTCGCAGTCGTCTCCTCCACGCTGTGTTTTGTTGTTGTTCCGAGTTTCGCGCGGCTGCCGCTGCGTACTGATGACGTCACAGACAGGCAGACTGAATCGAGTAACGTTTAACGTGTCTAAAGTGCTAAAAAATAAACAAACACACACACATCCATACAATTTTTGTACTTAAATCCAATGTGCAGTTTCCAAGTATCGATACAATCGATTATGTACCATTTCAATCGATTTGTAATCGATATATGTCGTCCGGAATGACGATTTGCGGAGCACAGATCGATTCAGTTGGATCGCAGGAATATAAATCGATTAATCGATTCAGTGAATGGATCGTTACACCCCTATCTGAGACTGTTGTCATCCTTTCAGATCCCTATCGGGACTCATTTCTCTCACCTGGTCCTTGACATCCATCTCACATGCAGCATTCCCTCATTGGTCCCTCGCTATTTAGGTCTGCTTCACTCACACTTGATTCTTGCCAGATTGTGTGTGTTTGCTCTCCAGCAAACACATTTGAATTTTCCTGAACTTAGTAAACCCAATCCTGCGTTGTGCATTTTGGTTCCGGTACGCAAGTCCTTGTAATTTGCAGCAATGCTGTCTGACACACTGGCAGTGTTCCAAATGCATGCTGCATAAATCCTGATCTGCATTGATGTAAAATTTAGCATTGCTAGATGATCCACATTTCTCAGATCCTAAACGATACACCTGCCGTGACTAAAACTAAGCGTTTTAATTTGTCGTAGAGTAGATCAATATTTAAATAACTAATATGTGTTAGTGTGTTGTACACTGAGCGTCCTCGCCATGTGACCATCTTGTGTACGGATGGAAAGGTTTGTACAACACAAAGAAAAAAGCCTTGAGCTACATTTGTCTCCTTGCACCAATGCAACAGGAAAAATGCCAAAGAGTCAAAAAAGCACACACAGAAAATGATATCCAGTATATGCAAAATAAATGACACCAGCAAACACAGACAAATAGTACGCAAGTTGTTGTGCAGCTCACACTCGCTTATAGTCTAAGCGTCCTGCTGCTTGCAAGATAATGACGCGTAGCAGGTTTCTCCTGCAGCTGGAACCTCTGGAGAGTCTCCGACTGCTCCTGTGACTGTGACCCATCATGAGAAAGTCACCTTTCACACTGACTCACATCCAACGCACCCTCACAAACGTTTCTCACTCTGCCTTCTCTTTCCCTTACAAGACCAAGTACATTAACTGGACGTGTTTTGCAAGACACAATACATTCCACACTTCAGTGTTTTACTCTGACTTTAACTTTAACTCTTAGCTCTAAAATCCTTACGGGGCCAAAGCGATGCCATATGTCTCCACGTGCAGGTACTGTGTGTTTGTGTGACATATGATGATGGCCCGGGCCTTACTTTAGCCAGCCATAAAAACCTTTACGCTACCTCCCGCTTTCGACTTTCTGCAGCCAGTGAACACGCACGCACATCCTCGTTGTAAATGCAACAAACCACAAAAACAAAAATGCCACAAAGGACGAAATGCACAGTGATAAGGAGGAAATCAGTGAGAGCAGTGAATGCAGCGACCTCAGAAACAAACTTAAGTGTAAACACACACACATGCAGAGCCCATCCAGACTGTGTGATCACACCCTCCCATCATCAACATCACCCGAAACCCATTACATCAGCTCACATCTTGAACAGAGGGGCTGCTGGGGAGAGCTCATCTGTTTTTACTTGTACACGCTTTTCTATGTGTGAGCGGTGTGTACAAAGGTTTGGCATGTGTTTTTAGTCTGCTGTTTATGTTGCGCTGTGTTTACGTTGCGGTTCGAGAGGAGAGGAGTAGAGTCTAGCTGGGCTCACGGAGGCGACGCGACGGCGGACCGTTCACAGCCCAGTAGAGGAGTCTCAGTGCGCCACAGTGGGGGCACAAATTTGAAACCGTCTCGGTCGCTGTAAACTCTGACCAAGGAAACGTAAATCTCAATTTACTTTTATAAAGCCCTCAAGCAAGCCTTCTCGCAGTATGTGTACGTGTGTGTGTGTGTGTGTGTGTGTGTGTGTGTGTGTGTGTGTGTGTGTGTGCATGAGTGTGTGACCCAACATCAGTTTCTAACCCCTGTCAAGCTTCTCACCATCTATTTTCATATTACTTCTTATCCCTGCGATCGTTTTCTGTTCTAAGCTCTTAAAAAAGGCCACGTTTTGTGTTTCAGTGTCCTGACATTTGATATTATGGGATCTTTTGGGATGTCATAAACCTATTGGAGGGATATTTCCTGATCAAAGTTCTGTTACAGTTATTATGACTGGATCTCCCCAGAGCGGCCGACCGATTCGATATGTTCATGTGGAAAACAATCAAAACAAGGACCTACTCGTAGAAACGCTGCTCCACAGCTTCACTAGAGCAGAAATCTAAAAGAAAAAACATCCATAATGAACCAGAGAAGAGAAGATATTGCATTAGCTGATTTGATTTGCTCTTTTGTAGAACCTGGGGTGTTTCGAACTTCAGAGTCAACATCTGCAGCGTAATGCTCTCCGGACATCAACAGTAAGCCACGTCGACAGGCATATGTTTTCAACACAGTACTTAAATGAATAACTAATCTTATTAGTCTCACATAGCAACTTCAACCAGAAAAACACCAGATTTCCGTTTCCCCATTGGCAGGGTATCTCTATTTTCAGGCAGTTTCATGACAAAAGTTGTAAAGTGTCTTTCAACGGTTTAACGCTCCAAGCCAAATCCCCGGCTAAACGTCCCATGCATAATAAACAGAGAGCGGAGAGCTAAGCTGTTTCATGTGCTGAGCTGCTGGCCGCTCGGTGGGAGCATCACTGGTGCTGCATGAGGGGATAAGCACCGAGCGATAGACTGTGTGTGTGTGTGTGTGAGGTAATAGTTCACCCTGTTGCCAAAAGCAAAAAAAAAACATCTCTACATGTAAGTGTGTGCAGAATCATGTTCACATAATGACAGCTGAACTATTTCAGACAAGGAGAACTGTTCTATTAAGTGAACCGCTGAGACACCTTGTCCTCTTAATGGAGAAGCTGTGTCTGTGTGTGTTTGTGTTTGTGTGTGTGTGTGTGTACAAGCCTGAGGTGTCAACAGATCTCTATCAAGCAGTCAACTGCGGTTTTGAAGACAACTACACCCTAAGCAGGTTGAAAATCCTCTGTTTTCTAAATAGATCATATCAATACCTGAGGACAAACCCAACATGAGAGATCATTTCTATTATTTTGTCATTAGTAAAAAAAAAAATTGAACAATTATTTCATCAAACAGTACATGTCAACTAAGAATATTAACAGAGACACTGTACAACACAATTTTTTTTCTCCACACAATAACGTCTTACGTACGACTTTCTGCGCTGCATCAAAGGACCATCAAGGAAAATATGTTTTGCAGCTGCTGTTATTTACCATGATTATCATTATAAAAGCACTCAATGCAGCTCATGATAGGATAAGACATTGGGTTTGCTACTACAATGACTGCAGATTACAACACTAATTCATTTTTCCACTCCAGTAAACCAGCTAATCCCATTGTTGCACCACTCACAGTGAGAGCGTGAGTGTTTCTTCTACAAGTCCAACCCACAGCCGCTAAATAAATACAACAATGCCTATAATCAAACCCTTTTGATTTTCATTCTCCTGCAAAGCTCTTTCTGTGTCTCTCCTTCTCTTTGTAGTCCCAACAAAAGGCACACACACACACACATACCCCCCCAGCACACACACACACACAAACGAGCATCTGTATCTACATGGAGCAACCGAAAATGAGAAGAACTGTGCATTGCCTAGAATTTAAAAAGTTAAAACTCACTGACTTAATTTTCAAAAGCAACATCTAACATATGTCGTGTGCTCGTTAATGAATAAGTATGCATCCTTTTCTGCATGTAAACATGCGCGTGCGCGTCCTACCTCCGAGCACGCTGAGCGTTATGGCCTTCGTGTGTTCAGCCAGCAGATCCGCCTTGGCGATAGCAGCCAGCGAGAGATAACTGGACATGTTCCTGCTCAGCTCCCTGTTGCCGCTCTGCAGGAATCGAACCGCCACCGGGACGGCCAGCACCATGACAGAGGGACAACTGTAGTTCTGAGGGGACAAAAAGAAGAGAGCGCAAATAGTCACACCTCCAAGCGAAAGGAAGGGGACAAGTGGACATATATTTAATCGGTGGACAAATCTTTTCAGACTGACAGAAACTCATTTCTGGGTTCGCAATTCACAGCATGAAACAGATTGACCTGAAAATAATCTGACCGCTGTGAACTATGTATCAAAGGTATGTTAAGTCATGTGACAAAAGGCAGTGGCGCTTTCCCCCAGCAGTAATGAGTGCCAGGAAGATTAAAACTATAAGCTTTAAGACACTTTTATGTTGCGTAAAGGAAAGGAAGTGTGTTGTGTTTGAGGACGCAGACACTGTGAACCTTGCAGGAGGAAGAATGAGTAAAGGGATTTGAAATGCACTAGCACCCTCAACAGGACAGACTGACACCAACTGTGTGATTGTTGGTGAGTTAGTGTGTGTGTGTGTGTGTGTGTGTGTGTGTGTGTGTGTGTGTGTGTGTGTGTGTGCAGAACAATAGAGGCAGAGAAAAAAAACATATTTAGCTGCAGAGGTCCAAAGGCAAAAAAAGACAGGCTTTAGATTTACATTTCTAAGACCCTCAGCAGTGATTCAATGAATTACGTGTGTTTTTGGATCGGTCATTTATCTGCGATGTTAACTGCACTTCTATTCACTGATTGGATTATTTCAAAGTAAACCATCCTTATGTACTTTTGCTTCAGAATACCCAGAATGCCTTTGAACCAGATGTTCAAGAGTTGAATATTTGTCGTCGTTCCATCTTTGTCTGTCATGTCTCTGTTCGCCCACTAGATGGCCCCGCAGACGCAGTGTCACTGAAACGTTATTCCAGATGCCCCATTAATACTCTGTCAATCTACATTACATTACATTCATTTCTCCGCCCCATCTCTCGCTTTAATCTAATCCGGGAGTCACTTAAATGCCCAAATTAAAAATGATAAAGCCACGCAGATGCTATCATAAGGCTGAAATCTGCCGGCTGGTACGTGTGTGCGCGTGCGTTGTGCACAAGCAGTGAGCTGATGAAAATCTTGCTTTTTACTCTTCTCTGTGGGAGTCTGAGTGGAAGAGTCGGAAAAGTGTTTGTGCATTCAAAACGAAGAGAAGACAAACGAGTGGGAGAGAAGAGATGAAGATGAGTCAAAGGGCCAGAAGAAGGTCAGATAGAACGAGGGAGATCGTGAAAATACGCAGAATGAAATCAGGAGGAAACGAGACAGAACAAAATAGTGTGAAGAGAAGAAGTGCTTCCCTGATGACTGCTCAGAATTAAGACTTCACAGCCTGGAGTTGCTGTCAGAACCTTTAGTCTCACCTGCGCATGAATGTGTGCAGTTACTTTCCCTCAAGAAGCTGTCTCATTAAGATAGAATTAAGCACATTCCCAAAGGAAATGGAAGTGTGGGGGGGGGGGATAAGGGAGGGAGTGAGTAAGTGATAGCGAGAGAGAGAGAGAGAGAGGAGAGAGAATTTGCTTTTAAGTCTTTCAGCTTCAAAGACCTGATGGAGAAAGTGGCTCGATACGGATTTAAAATGCTGAGGGTCATTTTAAATCTGTACCGTGGCTACTTACCGCATCAGATCGCATGATAATGATGATTACATTCAGAATATTTGCCCTTAAAGCAAAAATCTTCTCAAAAGTGCCTTGGTATGTGCTTTTTGCATTTTAGTGTTTGCCCGAGTAGCCAGCCAACTCCAAAGCCTGCGACGCTGCTCTGCAAGATGTGCACTGATACATATCTGTGGTTATTTTTAGTTCGGCACATGGTAAATTCTCCTCGTCCAGACGTGGGTTTGAACCGTAAACCAAAACCATCATTTCTCGGTGTCAACAGGTATGGCAGAGGTATGTAAAGCATGTGGCATTTGTGCTTTAGACATAACAAGCACAAATTAGAGTACAGTGTGTGTGTGTGTGTACCTGCAGGATACAGCTGGTGATGTCCGAGGCTATCTTGGTATGCGGCGTGTCCTCTGTGCTTTCGCCCTGCGGGGTGAGGTTATGTTCAAGACACGACTCCCACAACCCCACCAGCGCCGTGCTGTGCCGCTCGATGGAGCCCGTCTCCCTTATGGCCGTGGTGATGCGCGTTATGCAAATCTCCACCACTGCCTGGTCGTTGTCATTGGTCAAATAGTCCTGTCAGCCGGCAGACGGTGAGAGGGCACGACATTAACCATACGGTGGTAAATGAAGGGCAAAAAAAAGATGAATTATGGATAAGGACGTGAATAATTATTCAAACTGACATTTGCCCGTGTCATTTTCTCTGCATAATGAGCATCTACGCGTGGTGGTTCTGCGTACTGACCTGTGAGCAGGAGATGGCCTTGATCTGGTCCAGAGCCTGAGACAGACAGGCTTCGATCTCTTTGTCCTCCAGAGAAAACAGGTCCCCTGCTCTGGACAGATCCCTCTGGCCGAGCACCTGGCCGAACAGCTGGTGCATTCTGGTGCTGGTTTCGGAACCGCTTTCAGACCAGAACGGGACCGGTGCTGCCCAGTTTAAGAAGCCTTAATGGCCAATGAATACATCCCCGACATGGTGATCAAGGAGAGCAAACCTTTGAATAAATAACCATTTAGAGAGAACACAACGCTTTTTGTATGTCATCAAACGAGAGTTTTTCAGACATTTTAGCGTCTAGTACTGTGAAAAGCACCTGATTAACAAAGACCACGCTACTATATCTCAAGAATGATTCATTATTTGGATTTGTGTTCAAATGCTCTTCGGTGCAGTCCAGTGTCGAGTAAGTTGAGTCTGCCTGAGGTCTGTTACCATGGAGACAAGGCGCTATCGGGAGAGCGCGTTCTACAGCAGAGGCCTGAGGACAGAAGGGAAGAAGAAGGAGAGAGGGATGAATAAATTAACTAAAGAGGACTAAATGCTGGCATAGTCATTTTGTATACAAATATGAATATTCTGGCAAGCAATAGATTGTGCAGCTGAGAATGAGAAAATCTCCTTCCAGAAGATTCAGACAACTTTTACAAGCAAGAGACGTGAAAAGGGGAGGAGTGGATGGAAGTCAATATTAAAAGACAAGTAACACTCAACAATATCTGAGGAGTTAGACAAGAGGATTTATATATCTGCAGCTGACACCGAGGGAAAAGACTGGTGTGAATGATGTGAACTGGATGACTCACGGTAATGTGTGACATATCAGCTACAAAATCATACATACCTAGAGAGGAACACACACACACACACACATGCATGCACCCTGGGAATGTGTGGCTACAGTTTGCACTTCACAGAGCTGTTTGCTTAAACTATGCAGCCTCAGTGACACGTTGGGTGCTGGCGTGTGGGTGAAGTTATATTGTTTAGTCCAGTGCACATTCCACACTGTGCCACATTCAAATTACAACGATAACCCATGTCGCCTAAAAGGCTAAACAACTATATTGCCATTCAGTATACATTTCAGTACTGTATATTTCCTCATAATCCAAGAATGGTTGAATGAGAATAAACAGTCCTCGGCCTTGAAGTCTCATGAATTGCACGCACGGGTTTTTGGAGTTGAAAAGCAGCGTGTTAACCATTATCACTGTTCCTGTGAAATTCAATTAAACATTGAACTGCATAAGGGGCCTCGGCAGGGGTGAGGCAAGTTTTACACACAAATGCAAATGCGAACACATGCGCGCACAATCAATGAAGGCTTGCGACAAAAAGTGTTTTTCAATTAACTGCACGTCCCTCCGGTCTTTAAAGACACATTTTTAGCAAGTAGAAAAGACACACTGTGTTCAAAGCAGCGACCCTGTATGTATCTGTGACATTGTCTTCTCGCTAAGCCCGGTTTTCACTACAATCAGACGTCATCGCATCTCTGGAAGTCACATGGGAGCGAGCCCGAGCCAGAGCGAAGGGCGGCACAAAGCCGAGCACTTGGGAGGCCGTTGTCTCCTCCTGCCAAGTCGGTGATGGCCAGAGAACACACCCCCCCCCCACCTACCCTCCCCCCCTCCTCCTCCCATTGCCAGGATACCACATCAGGAGTTCTTATTGGTCCGAGCCAGGCTGCTGGGACCACAACAACAAAACGACCACGAACACAGAGCGGAGCGATTCATTTCACACACACACACACACACACACACACACACACACACACACACACACACACACACACACCAATTATCCTTGTACAAGCCACAATGTGAGTTATTTCTGTGCACGGATGGAGGTACACTACGTGTGTGTGTGGTAGAGCTAGCAGACATCAATTACCTGCAGTGTTTTCTATAAATGCCGTACACATATATTCTTGAACGTTGACAGAACAGGATTGTGAGTTTATTGGGTGCGCAAATGTGGTCCTGCAATTAATCCTACCTATGATATTTTTGGAGATTTGTCACTTCAAAAGGAAATTCAGAAAGTAATTTAGAACAAAAAGCAGACTGGGTAGATAGATCTGAGCAAAAAACACGAAAAGAGTCAGGGCTGAGAATGGGACACGCTGAGAGAAAGAGAGCAGCAGCAGAGCGACAGAGGAGCTGACAGAGAAGAGAGAAAGCCAGCGGTTGGGTAATGTTTCGCTCTCCTGAATTCCCTGTGTAAGCTACTGACAACTCGCACACTGAGCTTCCTTCATTCTACCTGACTGCCTCACAATAGCTCTCATTCACCTACACACACACACACACACACACACACACACACACACACACGTACGTGTACACTGTGCACAGGCCACCTTCTCCCACCAGGCGAGGGAACTGTTGTGTTCATTTACTTATCCTTTCCTGCTCTCACTGTGTCACAGCCAGGCTGAGTGTGTGTGTGTGCGTGTGTGTGCGTGTGTGTGTAGGAATTTCAGTTCTTAAACAATCAGCTAGTTACTATTAATCACCGAGCTACGGCTCAGTAAGCTCAGGAATGTGGCCTTTAAACACACGTTCGCAGCAAAGAAAATTGCAGTCGCTTGTGTCTCTCGAAACCTGTGTTTCTTCACTTTATACACAGTTGTGTGAACAGTTTTTACCCTTTTGTCCGGTCGGTACGGTGTCTGTCGTTCAAAAATAATCCCAATGAAGTCCGATTGAATGTAAAGCTTGGGCACCCGTACGTAGCGGGAGAGCTGTGTATGGGCCATTGGGCGGGTGCTGGGTGTGGGGGGCTATGTGAGGACAATGTGACTGAAGGGCCTCTCTCTCTTTCCTCCACCTCTGCCTCCACTTTCTTCACTCAGCGCTGTGAGAGAGGAAAACACTGGCTCTTTTGTATGACCTATAAGACAGATCAACCCCCCCCGTCCCTCCCTCGGCTCACTCGGCCCTATCTTACTGGGTAATGTGCACCTGCTCGGCCTGCAAGACCCCCCCCCACACACACACACACACTTTAGAAAGTAGCTGAGTGAATGGGAGAGACTGAAGAAAAAAAAAGCCCTGCATTCCACATTAGAGCTTCATATCTGAGTAACTTTCTTTCAGTCTTTATTCCTGCACAGACGTTTTAAGAAGGGGGAAAAAGGGGTTCAGGATCGAGGCTGCATGGACGTCATCGCCAGAAAAAAAGCCATTTGAAATTCCTCACCTCACGCCATTGGGACAAAGACGGCCTTCTGGCCTTCGTTTTAACAGTCAGAAACCATTTGGAAAAACCTCCTCTGGACTTTCCCTTCTAATATTTGCTGTCGTTGGAGCCATGTGGCTCAATGATACTCTTACGACTGCATGTTCACTTTGTCAGAAAAAAATCGGTATTCATCTGGTTCATTTCTGACAATATGCAATCAAGTAGCATGCGTTTTAAAAATTGCACTAAAATGTGTCCAAATATCTATGGCACCTGTTTCTTGGTGTAGGGGAAAGTGGGAGTCCTAAGAAATTATTAGAATGTTTCTGCCGGCATGTGCTGCAAAACTTACGAGCGTATGACTTTCTTCTCCATTAAAAGCACAGTGAAATAAAAAGGTGTTCATTAAAAAGCCACAGTGAGACATAAATACGTACAAGTTAATTGAATGATTATTGATGACTCTATTATTTTCTCAATTAGTCGATTACTCGTTGAGGCTGGAGAATGTCAGAGAATGGTTCTATTTGCAACTGACAAATTCTTCAAACTGTGAGTTTAGTTTTGTTCAACCAAAAGTCCAAACTCCAAAGATATTCAGTGAAGTAAACACTGAGAAAACAAGCACGTCTTCAGCTCCAATTTGACATGAATAATCGGTAATCCGCTCTAATCCCATCAACTTCATGGTGATTTGAGTGCATCAGAATCATTCCAGGACTCCTTGAAAACCCTGTGAAGCATCGTCGTCCGCCAGAACGTCCCAAAAGTTCTATTTGTCTAACAACAACCAAACATTTTCAAATGTTTATGCCAGAAGGCCTCCAAACATTAAACAGGCAAAATACTCTTGTCGTGTCTTCCCGTCAAATCCTGAGCAGAAATCCACTCTCCATACGAACGGTTTTCTAAAGGCTGGTTTTCTTTCAGTTGTTCTCAATAACTGGGCCAATCCGTTACGCAACTGATGCCATGAAATGAATGAATAAGTGTGAGGACTAAGTCACTATGGAGAGATTCCTTGAGGACTTGTCTGGAAATAGGTCCAAACTGCCGCAAATAACTCTTCTTGAAACCCGGACACCTGAAAGTTTTTGCACAGGAAAATAATGCATGTGTGTACGGTATTATACGTGCATGTGTGTGCGTGTGGGACAAACGGGAAGGTCCTCCATTATTGATGCCCTGCTGTTGTGCAGCTGCAGAGTAACGTCTGGGAATTACAGTATGACGGCAGCTGGAGAAAATGGCAAGTGTGAAAGCACACTGAAGAGATGGGAGATGAAGGAAGACAGAGGGGGGAATGTGGGGGGCACCGAGCGAGAAAACGGGGGTGAGTATCTCACTTTGTGTCTCTTGAGGACCCGATGTGAGACAGCAGGAACCAGAGCACCGGAACACTCCATGTGCCACTCGCGGATGTCACGCTGCTCACTGCAGATGGGCTCTGAATACCAAAGAGGAGCATTGAAAAGGGTTCAATGTGACATTGTGGCCTTTCATCCTGCTGATGGACTAATCAATGTATCATTCCAGGTCAGTTACTAAGTAGTGCTATAAATAAAATACTACAGTATGGGAATCGGACATGAACTATAGAAGATCCCACCTGATTGGTGAAAGAAAAACACATTTTGGGACCCACCATGATGGATTTCATGGTGAAATTTATTTAAGTTCCAGACAGGGGAAGAGAAACACAACAGAACCAAAAAGAACATCCCCTTCTAACAGAATGTCATTCCAGACTGATTTGGACTGGCGTCTCTGTGTGTTTTGGGATTTGTTAGTTTGTGTGTGTGTGTGTGTGTGTGTGTCTGTGTGTGAGTCTAAAAGTGTGGAGAGGGGGGATCCTCTTTGCCCTCAAGTTTGGTTCTGCCGCGCTGTGAGACTCTCGACCGCCGAGAGGATTTCCATAGCAGAAAGAAGTGCAGTATCGCCACACTCAGCCACACACACACACACACACACACACACACACACACACACACGCACACGCACATTTTTAAAGCATTCATTATTCACTGGTCCCCGCAGCCCAAACGCAGAGAGCTGAACGGAAGCATGTTTCAGCATATAAGGGTCTGACCCAGCGCAGGCTGAATTCAGTGCATCAAATATTAGCATTCTGAAAAAAGTCAGCTGCATTCAAATATTCCTAATATGTTTCTAAAAGTTAAGACATTTCTTTCACAATTTGAGTCACCCACATTATTTAGGTTTCCTGCCTCTGTGTGAGTAGGTGGATTAAACAGGTGATTAGACATATTACGCATTGGAGTGCATCAGAACAAGGAAATGCACAGCTGCGGAAAGATGACGCCATCCAATAATTCCTCATTCCAAGAAACTAAGTCAGATGATGAATCAAGCCATCAAGCCGGTGTAAGGCAACATGTTGGTAAATGACTCAATACAAGACAATGCTATATTTGACTTGATCTTTACAGTCCAGTGAGCAAGTGAATGAAAAATGTGTGTGCATCTGTCTTTTCCTTCACTGGCAGCCTCCACATGCTATTTGGATGGTGTTTACAGCAGTTTGGAAATCAATGTGAACTTCTTTCACCTTGTGGATGACGAGATCATTTAAATACCTGTTATTATAGACATAAGGCATGGAAATGACCCCCTTTTCCTGGGACGTAAAGATATCTGTCTCAGAAGCCTGTGACCTTGAGGAGTCCCTCCTCTCTACACACGGCAACACACACACACACACGCACGGACCAAATGTGAGTAATGCGACTGAACTGGCCTTTCAAGCTGCAGGAAAACATTGCTCGGTATTTCCACTGAAACACTGAGAGGTCAAGGGAGTTTAAATGGAAGGTAAACAGGTGTAAAAAAAAAAAAAACTATCCAAGATAACTGAAATGTTTCCTAGATAAAACTTTTCACCATGAGGTGCCATAATGTCCGCGTGTACCTGTGCACTTTACCGTGCGAGGGCATATATCTACATCTTTAACAAGTAACCCTACATTGCATTCAAAGCCTTTGGTGACAACCCACGAAAACGCATCTCCGATCCACCTGCGCTGTCCTCCTGTTGAGATTTCACAGGTAAAACGCATTTGTCGCGCGACGCGGGCGGACGGCGGCGCATCGGTGGCGTGAACGAACGGTGTGTCTCCCCCCCACCCCCCCAACATCCAGATAACTTTCCCCACATCACGGAATGCTGGTGCCATTCATTGCCTTTCGCCAGGCAACGCGTTTTTTGGTGTCAGTAATGATAGAATGTTGCCGTTCGCCAACAAATAAATAAATAACAACAAGAGCCTGAGTCATTTCCTCCGGCTTACCTGCCCCCCGCGCGGGACGAAGGACGCACCCGACCGTGGATGCAGAGCCGCGTTCGGTGAGCCCGAGCCTCGGTCCGAACGGAGCGGCGCTTGGCAGCACAAATTCCGCCTCCTCCGCTCCAAGTTGTCCCTCGGAGTAGACCTTCCATCCGCCCCGCCGCTGCAAAAGCGCGCCACCGTGCGGTTCAGGAGGGCGCGGCGCTCAACAGGTGGATGGGAGTCGGTGTCGGGGGGACGGAGGGTGGTGGTATGGGGGCATTTGTGACCTTTGAAAGTAGATCATGGGTTTCCCTCAGCTGCTGATGCACTGATGGGAATAACAATGCACCAGAGTTCACGGGGATTTAGGTCACGGCATTAGGTTTTTAGGCTTTTATTAAATACATCCGTAATTAGTTAGTACTTATTAGTAATTATTAGTAGATTCAAAGTGAGCCTTGATAAACAGTTTCTGCAACTGGCCCAAATAAACTTAATTCTGATGTTAGTTTATGCGGTTGTAATTCTGCTTGGATTGAGATTAAAAAACGTATCGTTAGATTAGATTAAGTTAGATTGCCCTCTTATTTTTGAAAGTTTAGATATATGAGGTCTCAGAGTTTACAAGGAGTCATTTAATGCAGCCTGGTACCACGATCGAGTGGGTGGTATAAGCTAAATGAGGTCTAATGGCTTCATGGCTGTATTCCAAAACAAATTTATCCCTAATTTGGTTTCCCAGCTCAGTCATCCTTTCTAATGTTTTGCTCGAGTGCCATGAGACTGTCTGTACTGGACTATATTGCATTTGTCAGCTACAAGTAAATGTCAGCTACAAGTAAACTCTTTTTTTTGCACTGATGAAAGTTCCATGTGATTAGAAGGTGGTTGCAGTGCTGAATCATGTGAGAGGGGGAATGTGAGAAGGGGCTGTTCCACCCATATGGTTCCACCAGGCTTTGTCCACCGGAACGGGAATCTAAAAAGCTTGAGTGTTTCCGGTGCAACAAAGGAATATTTGGCTTTCAAAATAAAGGCGAATGATTTGTCACCTGGCGTTTGGCTGGTACAACACATTCTTTAAAGAGACAAAACTATCGACTTTGCAGGATCGTCAGACAAAACAAAAATGAATTAGTAAATTAGTTACCATGCCTTACATCTCCATTATATATTCGATTTGGCTAAACTGTTCGCTGTAGCAGAATTGAAAGGAGTCGCATTGTATATGTACAGTCAATGATATGTGCCCTTAGGCCTTTGTATAAATGCGTGGTCAATATATTCAAATGAATCACGAGCTATGCTCCGTAGTATATCTTGCACAACGGTATGGAAAGACACTATCTATTATCCATGTTTTATTGTGAAAGTTCTCACAGGATGTTGTAATGTCATTCAGGATGTCTTGTCACTTGAAGTCAACCGGCGATGGCTAACATTAAGCTAGGAGCTCATCTATAGTGCTCTTCAAAGGCCAGACACATCGCTCACGGAATTTGGCAAAGACGTGGGGAAAACCTACTCAGACCCATGAACACTCTGCAGAATAACGGAGTCCATTTCGTCGTTTGAGCGGTAACCGGAAGCTAATTTGTATCTCATCTTTATGCGTTAGCATCTCCTGCTCAAGTCGATGTAGTTAAATTAGCCTTAATAACAGTGTCTTAAGCTGAAAGCAAATCAAGCTGAAATTGGAGCAGAACAAGCAACCGTCACAAAACATTCAAGTGTCTAATTAAAAGTGTCGCGATACTTGTCAAATGTTTACTGTTGTTACTTGACGCAGCTTTTCACTGTTTCTGACGTTTCTCTCACAGAGTCACATGACAAAACAAGCGCTCCCTCATCGCGTCGGGCCCGTTTGCGTTGGCTTTGGCTTTAGTTGCTCACAATTTGGGAGCAGCAACAGGAGGAGGAGGAGGAGCAGCAGCTGGAGGAGGAGGAAGACGGATCCTGCAGGTCCTGTCGTACCGCCATGGCCTCCGCTCGGTTCCCGGGGGGGAAGAGTGTGGACGTGGCCGCCAACTGGACGGCTCCAGCGCCGGGCCGGCCGGTGTGCGTCAACGGGACGCCGTGGATCCTCTACCTGTTGGAGGAGTGCGTGGACAACGTGTGGGAGTACTGCAGCGTGGTGATTGGTCTCGTATCCATGTTCTGCTTTCTGTTGTCCACTCTGCCGTAAGTAACCACACGGTGTTTGCTCGTGATGTTCGGGTTACGACCTTCCTTTTAACACGATCCACCCGTTCATTGATCTGCAGGCAGGTGTACGAGGCCTATCGCAACGGTAAAGTGGAGGAGGCCATGTCCTTCGGCTTTCTTTTCTTCCTCTTCAGTGGAGATTTGACCAGCTTCGCAGGCTGTTACCTCACCAGCCAGCTCCCCATTCAGGTAAACAGGAACCCGCCCGCTCCGCCTCGCTGTGTGTTGGTGTCTGCACCGTCGACTCCATCCATCTCGGTGTGGTTGGTCCCCAGTTGTAGTCAAATCTACTACATCTCAGACGATATATACATATATATGTTATTTTTGTCTTTCTTCCTTTTTCTTTCCAGCTAGTCACAGTGGTGTTCTACATCTTCACTGACCTGATTCTCATCTCCCAGTTTCTCTACTATAAGATCAAGAACAGCTCCAGCAGAAGTAAGCTCTGACATTTGGTTTCAAATGACTGAAGTCTTTTCTGCTCTTGACTCAATACATTTTTTTTATTTGCATTGCACGGCAGCCAGACACCTGCTAACTCCAATAGTGGCCGATGCCGTTCCAAATGTTATTTACCTGTGATAAGCGGTAACCACGGAAGCCGACGGCACATGACTGCCTAAAGGCTCGTGCTGAGATGTATCCAAGACAGCACACAGCCATATGCATCATCTAAACCAGCTCTGTTTAATGCAGTCTTTGCAGCTGCCTGCTTGTAGTGAGGTATCTGTTGCACTTGACACAATAGGCATGGACACTACAGGAGTGTCGGTTCATGTTTGGCTTTGTGTGTCTTCACTGTCGGTTGTTTTCTTTGTGTTTGTGTGGGTGGTGTAGAAAGCCCTGTGTTGAAGTGGCTGTGCTTCGCCTGGTGTGGCGCTGCTACGTTAGTCCTGCTGGCTTTACCCAAACTCATCGTGGAAAATAATGCAACTTTAGACCCCAAGGTAGGTTGATTGTGTGCCATCTACTGTATGTATTTGCACCCATGTGCGCATATATGTGCAGGTGTTTAGATTTCAGTGCTTGTGATCATTTAGGTCGCTTCTTTTTGATGCAATCTTTGTCCTTCTGTTTCTAGTGTAAGCTGCAACGTGTTGCTCCCCTTCACCTCTCTCTCTCTCTCTCTGTGTCCTCTTCTTCACAAGAGTCCATCTACCTCAAACTCGGTAGAAGTCACTGGCTATGTATGTGGGTACCTGGCATCTATATTCTACCTCAGCTCCCGTTTCCCCCAGCTCTATAAAAATGTAAGTGCTCAGATTTCAGCTGCGATGTGAACGTTTTTTTTGGTTTGCATGCGAGCACCTGACGGGAGATCCTGGAAAGCCTTCTCGCATAAAACTGTACTTGTATATATCTGTTACTCATTAACAAGGACTGAGTGTGTGTTTTGAGAGGGCGGTTGGGTTTGTGTGTCTGCGTATCACAGAATGTGTCCTGTGTTATGTCCCAGATGTCAGACAGTTGTGCTGTTGTGTTTGAGAGGCATTGTGGCTCTGCTGCAGATATTAATCACTGGAGGGGATTGTCTGAGACACACACACACACACACACCCTGACTATTGTAAACCATTTAAGATCGATTTGCCCAGTGGAAATTCCCTCATGTTCCCTCAATTATGCATTCAGCCTCAAACTCTTTCTCATTATCATCGCTGGGGGCAAGTTAGTGTCATCCAGTGTGGTGAAACCTAAACAGATACAGTATGTGTGTGTATCTGTTTGGAGCAAGTAGACCGAAAGCAGATCCCTTGTTGTGGGTGAAACGGAAACCTGGCTTGTAGTAAACCGACAGGCCCAGAACTTTTCCTTTTTCTCTGAATGTGGGTTCAATGTTTTATTTTTTACATATTCACGCCAGGAGATGATGCAACCTTGAGAGCGCAGTGCACACTTGGGGAACGAGAGCAACGAGTCGTGCCGTTTGGCTCCATGAATGAAATCCTGCGATCTCCATTCTTTTGCAGTTCCAGCGACAGTCTACGGAGGGGACCTCGTACCTGTTGTTCGCCCTGGCCATGATGGGCAATGGGACTTATGGCTTTAGCGTCATCGTGGTCCTGCCTGCACTGAAGGGCTCCAAACGGACCTTCATCATCAAACATCTGGCCTGGCTCATCGGCAGCCTCGGCGTCCTCATACTTGACTTCTTTGTATCCTTTTGAATAACCAGACAGGGAAACGCGAATCAGCTACTACACTTAATTGCCTCTATTCTTTTGTTTAGGGGAGGTGACATTGCTGAGATTCTTTTGTGTTTCTGTTTTGAGCCTTAACCTTGTCAGGTGACCGCCCAGTTCATTATGTACAGGAAGAACTGCTCGGCCAAAAGCAGCAAACTACTCGGGGTCCCGGAGGTGGAGCCTCTGCTGCGTGAGGAAGTGGAACTGTCAATGTTGTAGGACGCTGAACGGACGCCAGCATTCGTTTTTCGATCCTTCTGGGATGATTGATTCACTTATGACGACTTCACAGGACGGAGACGTAGCATATGCATCGTTCTTAACTGCGGGGGGGATCGAGTCAAATGAACTATCACTTTAGAGAAATCTTTGGTCTGTTTCTCTCCTCACAGTCGAGTTTGCTTCAAGGAGATATTGTCCTGTTTATGAAAACTGTTCTTCTCTTATTTTCTTGGATGGAATAATCCTTGGGGATCATACAGCGCAAGCTTTATGGAAGAACGAAGTGCCTGTTGCACTCACACATGTTGACATGGTGAATACAGCTGGACAGGATGGCAGCATCACACGAGAATGCATCATGTGGGAAGTGAGTGTCTTACCTGACCGGTTGTTGGGTTGTCGGGGTTTTTCTTCCTAGTTGTTGTGGATGGTTAACTGCGGCTAACAGGAATTTGTCATAAGATCAACGTAGGATTATTATACTTTACGTAAGATTATTATATTTTTCCGGACATTTCTTTTTCCCGGATATTTTATAAAAAAAACCTTCCTCTATGGTTTTCGAATGACCGATTTTCTAATTCAAAGGGATTTTGTATTTCTTGACCCAAGCTTTCTTTTTTTCCTTCTTATATACAGTCTTAGAACAAATGTGTAATATATATATATATAATCCATTTAATAACTAAATTATTTTAAAATTAAGTTAATTTTGTTACTATTGCTCGGGGTTTATTTAAGTGACATTTCTTTACAAAATGCTGTTTCTCTATGTTCCTAAAATATAATCTTGCGATTGCGATGATCAACTGCTACTGTTTTCTTGCATTTGTAACATTTTATTTAACCACATTCTTTGATCAAGAAGTTATTACTTTATGATAACATGTTTTCTGATGGATCTAAGAATAGGAACATTAATGGTGTAATGTTGAAGACTTGGTGAAGTGATGAGGATTAAAATTAGTTTGCACATTTAAGGTGTTTTTACTCTTAAAGCGGAAAAGATGAAATATCTATTTTTAAAATGTTTTATTCTTATTAGATGCATTGCAACTGTTCAAAGAGTGACACAAAACAAATTAATGACAACAAATCAGAGCAGAAACAAAACCGAACAAATAGGCATGTTGATGACCAGCACTTCAAGTCATTGGACGTTCACTGAGGTCAATAGAAAAACCGAACCGCTCGTCAATCTTGGGCCAAATAATACACAATGTGTGTGTGTGGTGCTGCGTAACTTTAACGACTGTACTGTACGTCTGCACTTTTCTCTACCTCATTGTTGGGAGTACACCATTTCTTTTCCTGCATATATGAATAGCTGACTTGCACATATTGCATTAAAAAAAAGGTAAAATATACAATTTTGTAGGGTTCAAACGACAATGTTTTCTTAGAGAATTACAGGAAAGTTGGTCGCTGCCTTCACAATAGCATGACTGGCTTCTTTTCTATGAGCCACTCTGCTGGATTTATGTAGATGTTTTTGTGACAACATAATGTTTATTGCAAAGGGAAAATTTATTTGCTAATATATGCAATTGGGTTCACGTCTTAATACAAACAATTTTGTTTCATGCAAATTAGTTTTGTATTGTACTTTTCCATTCCTTTTATACAAGTCTGATGTATTTTTTTTTAAGCGTGGACGGAAAATGTATGTGAATATTTTTACTGTTAACTGCAAAAGATGATGTTTTTACTTTTTGGTCACACTGTACTGCTCTTATGTATTTATTTTCTTAACTGTTCAGTCCACGTTCATTTTTTTTTCTTTTCGGATGTACTGTACATGGCCAGTTACATTGTAAATCCAGGGTCGGTATACTGGCAGTGTGTTCTGATGTAAAACCACGCTGTGTATGACAATAACTGTATCTATATTGTACAACGCTTTAATAAACTACAATATACCGTATATCCTCACTCCATGTGTTTTTTGATGAGATAGAACATTTATATCCTTGATCACTGGCAAGTCATTTCTAAAGTTAAACACATATTTTTATGTTTAATTATCTCTCCGAGGTGATAGTATTTTGAACATTCATACATCCACAGTTATTGACCAAAGTCATGAGTAATTTTAATAGTGTTTTATTCCAACATAATTTCCACGGCAATAATTCTCACAACAATTTGAATCTTTTTTTGTCACAGTGTTGTCATTTGCACGGTAACTAAACAGGGAGACCAGCAATTACGCCCCCGCTGTTTGATCGAGCTGCCCGCGACCAATCGATCGAACCCGTTCCCTCTGAGGGCGGGAATAGGGAAATGTGTGTGGAGGGGGGGTCTTTTTTGGGGGGGGGAGGGACTTCCCTTCAGAGTTGCGCTCGGATGGCAGGCAGCTGCTCCGCTGACACGTAACTGAAGTTAAAAGGTGTCCCGGAGGCCTCGTCCCGGACTTCACTTGTTTCCCACTTTCCCCACGAGCTCTTTTTTTTCTTCTTTTAAATCGCGTCGGAAAAGTTCACGTCTTTTAAGTGGCGCGCGAGCCCGAGACCTTCCGCCTCGTTCTGCAGAGCAACGAGTTTGATGCGAAGAGAAGCGGAAATCTCAGCGGCTACTTTGAAGTCGCAGGGCGGCGGTGGGGGTTTAGAAGAGGTGGGTGTCTCGAGTGGAAGTGGCTATGCTAAAAAAATGTCTACACCCGCGAGTATCCGCGTTCTAAATCGTGTTTGCTGCCTGGAAATGCTCGGCGAGTGAGAGGAGCAGGAGGAGGAGCAGGAGGTTTCTTCACGTCTGCACCCGGGAGGTAAAAAGGCTGTTTTTCGGAAGTTTCCACCGGCAGACGTAGGAGTGAGTGAGCGCGTGCGTGCTTGTGTGCGCGCGCGTGCATGAGGGTGGGGGACCGCGGGTCCAACATGGGGAGCGGGGTGTGCTCCAGGAGGCAGCGCAGGATCTTCCAGTGTCTCCTGCTGCTCACCGTGGTCTGCGGGATGATCTACGGCGGGATGATCTCCTACGAGATGCACAAACAGCTCAAGAGGACCGAGGCCACGGCCCTGAAGTACCAGCAGCACCAAGAGGCCCTCTCGGCTCAGCTGCAAGGTAAACAACCGCCCTGACCTAACCTGTCTTTGACCTATGACCCCCCCGTAGGTCAGCTGATCATTCGCAAAGGTTTGAGAGTTAATTTGGCAGGACCAGGACTAACTTTTGCACAAAATTGGGATCGCACGTGCACATAGACACACACCTGGCTGCAGTCTCCCCAGGCTCACCTTATGCAGATGAGTGTCCCTCAAAGTGATGAGGTCATCCACAACGCCTGCTGCTGTCAGCGGGGGCGGGAGGAACCGAGAGGAGAAGAGGGCCCAGTCACCTCTGTCTCAGGCGAAGCGCTTACAAAGTTCTACACGGTATTGATCCAGCCAGCCGTCCTTGTTACAGCCATTATTTGGTCAATTCTTCTCTCTACGTCAACGTGCATGTCTCAGTCCCTTGTTTACACATGCTATCGGTGTGAACATATCATCTATTGGCGATTTAAAACAAGTGTAACAAATGTAGTTAAAAAAAAGTTCAATATGGGGACTGATTAAGGGCATAAGTATGATTATTACATTTAAATAAGTGGCAATAATATTGGTGTGAGGGTGAAACTACTACTTTTTAAATTAATCAAATTAAAACACTAATATCCAGTCCTTTTTGTTTTTAATTAATCTACACCCAAAAATGATTATAACTACAACTTTCACATAATTTGGAATAATAATGGACTTAACATGTTTGCTGCCATGTTTGTAAATCAGTGACACACATTCACATGACATTCTCCTAGTCTACAAAAACAAATAATACAAACGTGATGTCGCTTGAAGTAACCACCACGACTTCCCCCCTCATAACGAACGCAACGAAGAAAAGAGTTGCCGTGGTGACAGAATGTGTGGTCTTGTGCCATTGTGCCATCAGGTTAAAATTAACCGCCGGGTGCAGAGCACTCGCCCCCACTCGGCTTCATCTATCCAGAACACCGTCTGTGCCCTCACCAGGGACTCAAATCATGTGTCAGGGTTTAAGGCCTGACCCTGTTCATTTCCCGCTTTGATGCACCTAACCAGTACTCATGGGGCTGGCGCTGCAACAAGTACTCATGGGTCTGCAGCCAGTACTCATGGGGCTGCAGCTGCAACAAGTACTCATGGGTCTGCAGCCAGTACTCATGGGGCTGCAGCTGCAACAAGTACTCATGGGTCTGCAGCCAGTACTCATGGGGCTGCAGCTGCAACAAGTACTCATGGGTCTGCAGCCAGTACTCATGGGGCTGCAGCTGCAACAAGTACTCATGGGTCTGCAGCCAGTACTCATGGGGCTGCAGCTGCAACAAGTACTCATGGGTCTGCAGCCAGTACTCATGGAGCTGCAGCCAGTACTCATGGAGCTGCAGCCCATCACTGTCGTCGGTGATATGCTTGCATGCACGTGCTCCTGTTTGTGTTGTTGTCCTGTGAAGCCGCCCGTAACAGATGATATCGTCACGGTAGGTCTCCCTCCCGGGTGGTGGTTGTTGTTGGTGTTTAGGGCCTATGTGAGAAAAGAATCATTGTTTGTTATATGGTTGGATGGTTTGGGGGAGGGGCGGGGTTTGGTTGTCCCACATTTAACCAACAGCTAGATGACAGAAAAAACTCCCTCAAGTAGGACAAAGTGCATCTCCCACCTCGGTTGCCCTCGAGATGAGCTGCGCCTTTTAGCCAGTTTTCAGGTCGGCGTAATACAAATGGCTCCGATTTCGCTTTTAAACAACGCTGGTGGATCCGTAGGCCAAGCGTGCGACGGTGTAACTTGTCACTTATGAACTCAACTTGTGCACCGCACCCGTACTTTCATGCTGAAGCGAATTCAGTGAATCACAAAGCCTGCGCCACTTGATATCCATGGCTGACTGCTTTCTGTGCCCTATATTTAGAGGTGGGCCATAGCTTGGAGGGGGGGGGGGGGGGTCGCCAGCTGTATTGATTCAGAGTACTCCACAGTTGTCATTTAAAAGGATTAACTGACACTTTGACCAATGTGTCCCTGGGATTTAACTCTCATTCGTCCTTCCCCACACATGCACACGCAGTATTGTTTGTAATGTCATTTGCAAAACATTGGTCAGATGGAATAATGGTGTCCGCCTCTGAATAAGTGTTAATGTAATGTGTGTTACATTTTGTGTGCCGCCACCAACTGTTTCCGTTTATTACAGCGAGCGCTCTTCTCTCTTGAGATCAACAATTTTGCCGTCTACGCTCACAACCACACACTCAATAGAATGATAAAATACTAATTTCTTCTTTTTAGAATGTGTCAATGGGGTCTGAAAATCCCCGATCTTTCACCTTTGACCCTTCGCCTGGAAGTCCATGGTTTTCCCGAAATGCGTGTAGTTGATACAATATGTAAAGTATATTGTAGTACATCTTTCAGCTTTGGTTCAAAGAAACGCTGTGAGATAAACTTTGGCACCACTTACAGAGACACCGTAAACTTCACTGCAGACCTGATATCTGCTCCTGCATCAGCTGGTGTGCTGTGCTCGACCTGGTTGTCCAGGGGATCGCCATGTGGGAGGCAGACCACTAGTTGAAGACGGTCGTCCCTCTTTTGATCAGCAGCACATGTGTGAGTGTAGCAGGCCGGTGAAGTTCACCAGCTCACACAGCGGCCTTGTTCTCGCAGGGCCCGACGCTCCTTAAGGAACGTGCCTCGCACCGGAAAATGTTCATTCCCATTAAGCGAGGTGTGTGTGTGTGTGTGTGTGTGTGTGTGTGTGTGTGTGTGTGTGTGTGTGTGTGTGTGTGTGTGTGTGTGTGTGTGTGTGTGTGTGTGCGTGTGCGCGCGCTGGAGAGAATAGTTGTCTGTACTTTAGTACAGGTTTTACTGCACCAGCAGGCGATGATGTTGCTTTACAATGCAAAAACCAACAAACTTCAATCAAGAAAAACCTTTTAATATATTCTAATCACTCAGAATTGACCCTCCTGTCTCTGCGATGTTGTTTATAAAGAAGTCGTTTTAAATAATTCAAAATGACCCTTTTTGGACTGTAGCCTCTTTGTAGCCGCTGGCCTGCTTGTCCATGTTGTCCCCTGGAGAGTGGGTGGGCATGTGTGTGTGTGTGTGTGTGCTGAACTAAGAACAACATGGCCTCATCTTTGGCCCGTCTCATTGCAGTCAGGGTACAGAACCTCTCACGGGTAGAACAAAAACCTTTTCTCGTGCATGCGGCCGACCAAGAGAGCAAGTTAGATTCCTAAGTGCTTTCCAATTCAATGGTACAAAGTGCGTCAAGGCGCAATGTAAACAAATGCACAAGAGAAACGCCGCACAGAACATGGACCCGAAGGGTGAGTTCAGAAGAAATACACACACTTTTTGCAGCTCCTGCCTTGATGTGGTTTGTAATGACACAAAGATAATGACGAGAATCCTTTCTTTGCTGATTTACTGGAGGAAACCTTGCAGACGCGGGTCGTTTGACACCAGCTGGCCGAATGCCAGGGAGAGCTTCTGGGTTCACGTGAATCCCAAAGAAACGCGACACGGCGTCTGCGCAGGACGTGCCTCAAAGGAAACGCGCACATGGAAAATAAGATTTGTCCTAAAAGTTGAACGCTTGGGCATTTCACAGGGCTGACGAGTAGTTACTGTTTAAAGCGGCGTCATGTATTGGTGCAGACACGCTGGAAAGAGGTCGGGTCAGATGAGAACAGACACGTCTGCATTCATTGAAAGGACACGCGTGACTCAGATTTTCCGAATACCTGCAAACAGATGTTTGGAAAGCGGGATCCTCTGCAGAGGCAGGTTTCTTTTCTCCCCCCCCCCCCGAGAAGAGGCCGGACGCGGCGGCTTAGTCCTGAAGCCGTCACGGCCAGTAGAAAGGGAAGTATTCGCCGCATCGAGCAGGCGAGGCGGGAAACGTCTCTGAAGGAAACGCGAGAGGAAGTCTTTGACGTTTTGACCTCCGTCACTGGACCAGTTTAGCTACCTTGGATTTTCCTCTTGAATTGAACGTTTGTCTTTGATACGTTTTTGGTAACCGCGATAGTTTAAGCTACCGTGTGTGTGTATGTTTCCTTTGGGCCTCTTCTGGTTTCTGTGTGTGTGTGTGTGTGTGTGTGTGTGTCTTTCTCCCCCTCTCGTTTCTGTCTTTAATCATCTCACTGTTCCCACATTTGTTTTTCTCTCGTCCTCCTGTCTCATCCTGCCTCATGGAATGATTACAATGCACACATGTGTTTCTAAACGTTTTTCTCTCAGAAGAAGGAACAGCCACATCATCATCAGACCCCTTCCCCTGTCCGCCTCACCTCTGCTATAATAAAATAACGGATTCTCCTTTTATATTTTATTACCTTGGTGTTGGTCCCCAGTTTCTTGTTGTGAGATAATACTTTATTTAATAATTGACACTTGTTTACCACCAAAGCGTTAATGGGAGTTCCTATAATTGTATACTGGTACGCAACATGACGCCTGGGACGTGTCTCACTGTGGGGATGCTGCTCACGATGACTAATTCGGACTTGCCCATTTTTAATGCAACAATTAACGCATTACATCTCTTCCATGATTTGTTATTCTGTCATCACTGGAAAACATCTGTGATCAAAAACAACAAATGTAAAGACTGTATTAGCCGAGGTACTACTTCCCAATAAATACTTGTATTATTTAGTAATGAATGAGGCGCCTTTTAGATCTATCAAACGCTTCAACATGACCCCCCCTACACTGAGCCCCTGGCGCTGAACCGCACCAGTAGTATTTGTAAATACCTGTTGGGCAGCGGCGTTGTGAGGAATACCACAGCGTTGTGTCCCGAGGTCACAGCCGAGTGGAATAAACATCACACCAGCCTCCCACGCCGAGCGCAAAGCGCCGCTCCAGACGGAACGTGTCGGCGCGCTCATTGTGCTGCAGCTCTTGTTTGTTGAGTGCTTGAGACTAAACACTACACCTCTTTTGTGTTTTCTCCCCCCCCCCCCTCTCTCCGTGTGTTTGCACATGTGTTCACATCAGTGGTGTACGAGCATCGCTCCAGGTTGGAGAAGTCTCTCCAGAAGGAGAGGTTGGAGCACAAAAAGGCCAAAGAAGGTGAGGAATTTAACCTCTATGTTTAGATCCGACCCCCGAGGAATATCTCGCACAGTTTAGTAAACTATGGTGCATACAAACCTTGAGGTTATTATTCTGTTTGACAAAGGAATCCGCTAAATAATAGTGATATGCAAAGCAATAACGATGTAAAATAAATGTTTACCAACTTTAAGGGTAACTCTGACTTACAGTGGTTAAGAATAAGTGCGTTTCTCTCTACAAAGCATCAGAATGAAGCTCATATATCTCCACCATAGTGGCATTATAACCTTTTTCCATCAAAAAATGCATCAAGTTAAAGCACAATTTTCCCCCTGGAAAACAAACTTTTTGTTTGTGTTTTCTAGATTATCTGGTTTACAAACTTGATACACAACAGTCTCTGAACAAGGAGAAGGTACGTTTCCACTCATCAAATATCGCTGACGTTTCTTCTGGTGTAAACTCTGCTATTGCGTCTCTGTCACCCGTCTCCCGTGGTTTTAGGTCTTCTCGTACTGCTTTGCTGTTCTGCCTCTGCTATAATTCACAAACCTTATAACAATAACTGCAGAAGTAAGAAAGTTGTTTCATACCTTTTCTCTGTATGCTCAAACAGCAAGACTCCAGCAGCAGGTTCAGCTCTCTACAAGTGCAACATCAGGTGCTAAAGGTACACACATCTGTCTGTGGCCTCACCGCGCTGCACCCGTCCTCTCTTTGGGATGACGCTCGCGTCTGCTTCATGTATGATCGCGTGATGGCAGTAGTCTCCTTCTCTCCCGCAGAACCAGCACGAGGACCTGAAGAAGCAGTTCTATGACCTGCAGGAGCAGCACCAAGTGCAGAGCGAGGACCACAGCCGGCTCCTCGGCGAACACAAGGAGCAATACGAGAAGGTGCAGCAGGTCAAAGAGGTGGAAATCTCCCACCTGAAAGGTACAGGCGGCCGCACACAGCAGCTGGGCTGTTAGGCACGAATGTGTCCCTTTTGCGGTGGGGCCATCGCTGTTTTGACTCATAGCATTCTGCATGTTTGACGTAGTGTTCGTGCTCTTTTTGAGACTTTTAGATCAACATCCAAGAACTGTTTGGTCGTGTCAAGCCTTTCAGTGGGAATTCAGAATTATTATTTATTTATTTCGGGGTGCGTGTGTATTTTTTCTATTTGAGCTATTTGCGTTTTATTGTGCTAGCTGTTTCTAAACTGAAAGGTTTGGATTCAACTAGTGTTTTATCTCTGGAAACCTCTAAACTTGTTTCCTAAAAATATATATAAATATATATTTATACATCTATATATAGTCCCTCTGCTTCAAGCCTTAAACTGTGTTGTCAGTGCTGTTAGAAGGAATATTAATTGTTTAACTGACCGGGTTAAATAACATAATTATGAGGGGACAAAATCACAAAACACACATGGTTCACATTATTTTGAAGTAGAAGATAATTCTTGCTTCTTGTGTTGTGCTGTGCAGTTGCATGATTTCCATTCACGTGTTTGCTGTTTGTGATGGCAGATAATGTTTACAACCTGAGAGAGGAAAATAAGCAGCTGAGGAAAGCCCACCATGACATTCACACACAGCTACAGGATGAGCACGTAAGGAAACCTCTTCTATCATACAGTGTGTGCTTCAAAATCAAATATAAATCAAAATAACTTGGCCAGTTGGCATGAAGATAACCAGTTTGTCTGATCTCTTTTGGTTGCACTTGTTTGTCCAGGTTCAGCATCAGGACCTGAAGGCGTCCCACAGCCAGCTCGCACTGACGCTGGAAGACCACAAGAGTGCGCTGGCTGCAGCTCAGGTAGGACGCTTGTTGTTTATTCCAGTCACTGAATGCAACATCAGCTGACTGATGCTGAATCGCTGCATCGTGAGTCATTTATTCACGCATAGTTTTGGTCCCATCGAGTGTGCGCGAATGTTACTGCGTGGCGTAGTCAACGGCTCTAGGTGAGATTTTGACATGTAGAATGTTGGCGGTGAAGCCACAGAGACGTGGGCGGGGCTAGTGGAGTGAAACGGACAGGTGAGGGGGAGTCGGCGCTTCTGCTGTACGGTCTGTCAATAATCCGCTCTGCATTCCTCTCGGCCTGCCTTCGCCCTTTTGCTTTGACCTTCTTAATAAAAAATAAAATGGATCATTGTAGCTGACGGTCTAATCCCCTGTAGGGGAGAAAAAAAGATTTTTTGGTTGTTTTTGGGGGGTAATTAGATCACATGTTTGCTGTTTTGCCCCAAGATCGACCTTTGAAATGGCTGAATGGTTTATTGAATGGATACTCACTCACTGTCCTCTTTTCTGTCCGTCTGCATTTTGCTCATTTATTTTAAAACCTGTCCTGCTTTCCCTCCGGTTGGACAGACACACACACACTTGACTCTTTCTTTCACTCCAGGGGTTTGTTTTATTTAGCGCTGTCAGGGCAGTACACGGAAAGCACATTCAAGCCAGAAAGACATAATAGAGGGAGTAGAGCAGGAGAAAGAGCGAGGGGAAGACTTGAGGATGATGTATTCTAAATGTAACCCTACGTGAATGAAAAGGATGGTGTTTTTGAATGGGATCTCTTTTTTTTTTATCAATTTCATTTAGCTAATTTGAGGTTGTTGCAAAATCTTAAAACGGGTTTGTGTTAAAATAATATTTCCATCCCTTTTTAGGCGCAGCTGGATGAATACAAGCAGATGAGGGAGTCCCTGAACAGGGCGCCAAATCTGAGACGGCCAGAACAAAACCCCGCCCCCCCGCAGCCACAAGCCGCCGCCACAGCAGCCGAGTCCCGTATTCATGAAGCCCAAAAGGCCACGATGCTGGAACATGCGCAAGCGAACGATCCCCGGGCCCGACAGCACACTGAGTCCAGGGTAACGTGGGAGTCTTTGGCATCATGTTCTTATTTGTTTATAATTATCAACCCAAATGGCAAAACACGCCCATCTGGTTGCTTTGTCCACAGTTGCACCATCAAGAGGAGGTGATGCCCGCCGAGGACGAGACCCACGAGTCCCACCCGACCGCATCCCAGCCGGCCGTGTCCGACCGAGAGGAGGAGGGAGAGGCTGAGAGGAGGAGGGAGCTGGCCGAGGAGGAGATGGCTCAAGCGGGACAGCCTCAGAAGCTGGAGGAGGATCCCGACCAACCGCAGGACGACCGGCAGGAGGAGGACGAGGAGGAGGAGGAAGAACCGGAACAGCCGGACGAGAACGCCCTGGACCGACAGAGACGCCAGCCCCAACCGGTCAGAACTGTGGCCGACTTCTCACTTTAATCCAAACAGGGTTAAAAAAAGGCCTTAAACTGTCTTTGATTTTCTATATCTCCACTAATTGAAAGTGACTGGAATACAGGCGGTGTGGTTGAAGCTAAAAACACAAACCGTGTAATCGTAAATTAGTTACACGTGTCCTTGTTATATCAGGTAGGCATCAACTGCTCAAATTGAAGTGTTATCATGAATCCCAGAGGAATTAAAAGTAATTACAACGTTTCCTCAGTGTTAAGTGTTCATTGTTTTACGCTCTCATTTTCATCTATTAAAGTGTCCCAAAGGACGAATTACACCTCGTCTTTGCATTCATTTCTCAAATTAGCCTCTTCATTCTTCCTCTACATGTCGGTATTTCGCATTTATTTGTTTTCTCAAAAAGGGCCCCCATCCGGGGGAGCAGGAGCCGCACGCCCAGGTGGAGCGGGCGAAGTCGGCCTACGAGCAGCAGCAGGAGCAGCAGCGGCTGGAGGCGCAGAGGGCGGAGGAGCGCAGGCAGATCCAGATGCGCCAGGAGGCCCTGAAGGTCCAGAGGGACAAGGTGCTGAAGGAGAGGGATGAGAGGCGGAGGCAGGAAGAGGAGCGGGAGCAGCAGCAGCACCGCGAGGCCGACAGGCGGGAGCAGCTGCTGAGGGACGAGCACCAAAGGTCAGATTTCGGATCGCATCAAATGGTGCGTTAATGAGACTGGCCTTGCGTGGAGGCTTTGTTTCGGGGGGGCGGGGCGTGCGGACAGACACATTTTCTATGCGCGTGTGCAGAAACGCACCAAATTCAACATTCACCACCGCTAAATATCAATAACCCAAAAGAACGGTGCCCAAGAGCTCCGTCCTTCGCTCTTACCGGCCTGTCCTATGTGTGCTGTCATCAGAAAAAGGAGCGATTATGAGAATATGGACAATGATATTGTCCAAGGAGAAGAGGACCGGCACACAGGCGGTGAAGAAGGTGAGACACCCGTAAAATAAAACCTTTAGAATCCTGTGCATCATTTTAGCGGTGAAATCACGTGAAATGTGCTCACGGGGAGGGGGGGAATTGTTTGTGTTTGTTGACAGACGCTCACATGATGGAAGAGGAGGATCAAGAGGAGGATCACAGAGTGCCGCCACACAAGCAGGTGACCGTCTGCCCATCCGTCTGTCGGCACACCTGTGCTCCACACCAGCGTATCATATGTCATGCATCCATTCGGCCATCCATCCGTCAGCAAATCGACGCTTTCTCGTCTCCCCACTATCCATCTTCCACTTCCCAGCCACTGCAGTGAGCTGTTGAAGCTTCTGAATACCAAACAGGATCATTACTGCATCATTAGAGTGCAGTAAACTGCAAAGTCAGTTGGATCATATTCAGCCATGAATCCTCCTCACTACTGCTTCCTGCTGTAGTACTCTTGAGCTAACATTTACACACTGCTGCACCTCTCGTTTACTTTGATTTCGGTGTCCTTTAACTCTCTGCAGGGTGGTGGAGAGCTGGACCCTGAGGACGACCCCAACAACCAGGGAGAGGACGAGTTCGAGGAGGCCGAGGACGATCGGCCGCAGCACAAGGTCCCACGGGTGGAGAAAGAGAAGGAGGAGGAGGAGCTGGTGGAGGAGGAAGAGGAGCCGGCGGCACCTGCCCAGCACAAAGACGCTCGGCCCGAACAACCGGCCGCGGAGGAGGAACTGGTGGTGAGCGAGGTGGTGGGGGTGGAAACACGCACACAAACACGATGAGAGAGAGAGAATAAACCTCAGCGTCTCGGAAGGTAAAAGACCTTCAAGCTGTTTTTGAACTTGTGTGATTTGTGCAGATGGCCGGAAACCCCGACCAGCAGGAAGACGCGCTGGATGACCAGTACCAGGAGGGAGGAGAGGACGACGTACGTGACACCGCGTACATATTGAGTAAAGCAAAGAGATGAGAGGGAGCTGTTTCTGGTGTAATTCTCTCTTCTCTTTGTTGGTGTCCCGAAGGTCCAGGAGGACATCGCAGCTGGACAAAGGAGAGAGGAAGAGGTGGTGGAGGAAGGAGAGGATCCCTATAACGAGGAGAACATAGAACAGGTGGGTTGTTGATGTCTGGCTGTCAGTGTGTTTTATTTCCTGTGCGTGTGTGTGTGTGTGTTGTCTCCTTGCCTCCCACGTCCAGGTGGGGATCAGATATCGCCGGTGTCGGGTCACTACCCGAGCTCGGTTTCTTTCATACAAATAGAAAAGAGGAACTCTCTTTAAAAGAAAATTTAAAAGCCCACAAACATTTTCTGATTTTTTTTGACCAACACTGGTTCGGTCTTGATGATATTTCTAACGAATAACGAGTGATCTGATGAAGATTAATGATGATCATCAGCCCAACTTGCTGATGGAGAGTGACATTTATTTGCAATGCCTAGTTTTCAGCCCACTTCTTGAACCTGCTTTGATGGAAACAAATGATGTTTCTCAGTCGAGCTTATTCCTCGTGGTCTTGGTCTGTTTCTTGGACTCTGTTGCATTTCCATTTATTTACAAAAGAATAGAATAAAAGCCTTTTTGCAAGGCCTACTTGGTTGTCTCTACTCTTAACGTGTAAAATGGGACGTGATGAAATGTAACACGCGCTGAATCAAATGGAAACGATATGCGGTGCCCGTTAAGTGGTCTTATTGTCTGCTTGTGACTCGCTCCAGGGCGACGTGAAAACGCAGGACGGTCCGAGACAGGAGGGCGATCACAGAAAAGAGGCAGAGAACAACGAGGAAGAGAATTACGAAGAGGAAGACGAGGAGATGGAGGCGGGTCGAGACAAGGGAACCAATCGGAGGGCAGAGATGTAGGACGGACGCAGTGCGTTTAGAGCCTGTCAGGTTCTTTCTTTCCCTTGTTTCCCCAGCAGGAATAAAACCAGCCATCCATTCAGAATGCCAGTTAGGAAAACTGCAGATTTTTTTTCTTCCCGGAAGATAGGATGCCGTTGCGAACCCTGCAGGGATGGAACTGAGTCTGTGGAAACGGACAGAATTTGCCTGGTGGGAATCGGATGTGTACTGTATCTTTTTTCTTTTGTTCATTCTACCTGATTGCCGGCCTGGTTCTGTTTTTTTTTTTTTTTTTTTTGTTTTTTATAAGAGCAGTCAAGCGGAGAATGTTGTCGTCTTTGAGTATGTGTAATGAAAGCAAAGATAAATTATGTTATTCTGATCTCTTTGTGTTCAGGCCTTTTTATATATATATATATATATGTTTTATGCAAACCGCTGTATACTTTATAGAGCTCAACTTTTAATCTTGCATTCCAATCAATCCAGTCGTTTTCTGTTATTTATTTTGACAATTGTAAGGAAAAAAGAAATGCAGCTAATGGTTCTTTTCCCCGAGTGAACTGGCGTGTGTCATAATGGCTTTTACCAGCTATCCGAAGCAATCATGGGATTATTTTCACTGGATTTTGCCGGTCAAAGAGACATTTCTGGTGAAGCCGTGGCGTGCTGAAAGTGTCACACTGACCCGTGCGTTTCTCTCTAGCTCTTGGTCATTTTACATTAGGAAAAAAAAAAAAGTTAATAGGACAGGAGAGATGAGGGTGTGCAAGTTGCATCAGCGTAGCCTTAAATAGAGGTTTCATGTTGACTGCTGTTGTAAATACAACTCACAAATATAATGCGGTTTCCTGCCAAACCCTTTTTCTACTGTGCAATGTTATAGCAGAGAAAATGCTTGTCCCACCAGTTATATTTGATACAAGAAGTGGGATTTTGATTGCATTAAACCTCAAGTGCCAGCTCGACGGTGTCTGTGGAATAAAGATGTCAAAGGATTTGTTGTCTGATGCAATTTGATGTTGCCAGGATTTATTCTGTAGTGAAAGGGGGAATCTACCTGAACACGCTAAGATTAATACTGATGACAGCAAAGTATTTGTTGTAACCACTACTGTTTATTTCTTCCACTTTTTAAAATAAAAAACAAGAAAAAGTCCATTCAAGGGATTTTATATTACAGCAGAATAGTTACTTAAAAGACTCCATTTAAGATTGATTGTATATTATCAGATATAACACACGGATAAAGCTCCTTTTTATATACATTATGTATATTTACAAATATGTGATCTCGTCTGTCTCCAGACGCTTGTTCGGTTTGCTATATTTAGTTAGATCTGGTCTGCAGTAGACGAGGCCTCTATTGTAACACACGCATGTTGAGTTGCATCAGGCAGAAAAAACCTCATTAAATTCACGTGTCATGGCAGCTCTGTTGGTCACGTGTGCATCGTCCCGAGTCTGAATCCTCTCACTCTCCCTTCTTTACCCTCCAGCGAGGTGAGACGATAGTCTGCAAACCCGCTCACGTGGGAAATGAACCGACAAATTGGGATGAAATGAAAATCCCCTGAGGGGGGGGGGGGGGGGGGGTTAATGAACCGGCCCAGCAACCCCCTGAAAAAAAAAAATAAGTCCCTGTCACCCGGTCTCCCATCAAATGATCCCTTCGTCTCCTTTTCTCCTCTCGTCCTTCCTCTGCTTTCTCTCCGTCTCCTCCCTCTCTCTTTCCCCGCCCCCTTCATCATCATCATCATCCCCCCTCTGCTATTGTGAGCTCCCCAGAGGATCTTTGGGATGCTGCAGGAGCACGAGTGTAACAGGTGTCTCATTACTGTGCTAATACCAGGCCACAGGGAGACGCAGGCTATTTCTGCGGGTGAATTACCCGGCATGAGTCATTTGAACGCGTCCGGGCCTCCAGCCCGACAGTCGCTTGAGCATACGACTGCCGCCGATTCACACGTCTTCCATTCAACAACAGCGCAACATTTTACTAAAAATGAACCCAAACTCCTCTGCGATTTTTTTTTCTTTTTTTTTCTATTGCCATAGCAGGAGAGATCAGAGCGTCGAAATGTGCAGCAAAGATAAGCGATGACATCTCCAAAAAAAAAACAACCCAGTAGACGAGCCGCTTCTCTTTGTGCTGATCCAGAGAGCTCATTATACCGTCTCTCTGCAGCAGTAATGATCCCTCACACATCAGCTGCAGATTGAAGTTCCATCTCCGACACACACACACACACACACACACACACAACACGCAATCACACAAACAATCGGCCACACTTAAAGGAACCCCAATGAGGCATCAAACTAGCAGTCTGTGCCTGGCTGTGTGCTTGTTAGAGCGACATCGGCTCCTCGAGCTGTTTTTCTCCGCATCCCGTGTGTGTGTTTGCGTGCCCCAGTTCATACTTGTGTGTGTGTGTGTCACGGTGCTCCCTCGAGGGAACGCGTGGCAGTCTTCGTACTTGTGTTCTGACGCGTCAGATAACCAAGTGTGTTTATGTTTCAGGTGCAGGCTGAAAATGAAACCATTACCGAAGGATACGCTGCTACAATGTATGAATAAGTGAACTGCAGTCGACAGGGAGGGGGCAACGTGCGTAACCGCTCCAACACTTTACAGGACCGAGACACACACACGAGAGGGAATTAAGTAATTTTAGCGTGAGTGCTTTGCAAGCTACATACATACTCTGTGTACAAGTCTCAATTGTGTGTGTGAGACATACAGCTCAAGGGCCGTAAGGTCGAGGCCATTATCCAAACCCCAACCCTGGACACTGAATGTTTGATAAGCCTTGATAGCCGATGTCCTGTTGGTCCTCTCATACTCATGCACGCTATAACATAATAAACCGGTTTTGAACTATTGACTGTATAAAATAGATCTGTGCGATGCGCGTCTGCTCGGCAGGACCATCGTATCAAAGCAGAAAATCTCCTCCGTGTACGTTGGGTCCGAAGCAGATGGAGGAGTGTGAACGTGTTGACTCAGCAGAGTCCTGAGAGATGTCGAGCGGGCGGAGATGAGTCATCAGGCAATCTGATTATTCCTCCATCGAAGACCAAGTTCAGTCTCTGTGCTGCAGCCGAAAAACGTTCAACGTGGAGGAAAAAAACAGCTGAAAGGATTCATGGTATTTTCTATTTATTATCAAAATGTGTAGATGAGTGTGTGTAGAGGTACAAAAACATTACTATCACAAAGGTATTAATAATGATAAAAATATAGATGTACATAAAAAGTATTCTGGATAGACTTGGAGCATATTAACAGCACATTTCCTGTGAATGCGTTCAGTTTAAATAAATTGAAGAGTTTGATAAAGAGTTTAGCGCGACGTCAGTTTGTGGCCCAGCGCTTTAGCCGGCATCACACGTGGGAAGACCGGGAGAACCTGAAAAGGTCATAAAATGCTGCACATCCTGGCGCTTTCTGGGAACTGTAGTCTGGTGGGTCGAGAGTCTTCTGGCAGCTTCGGGATTCCATCCAGGATCTCCAGCTTTGGCAAACAGAGGAAAACGCTGCACAACGACAGGAGCAGAAGAAGAGAACTTAAAAAAAAACAAAAAAACACTTCCTGTCCCTCGCCCAGACGCCCTCCCTCCCAACGACCTCCCCCTCCCCCCCCGCGGACCCCTCACCGCGCACGGTAGTCCTGGGTGAAGGTCACTGGGTTGCGGGTCAGGATGAGGGAGCGAAGCGGGCCGTCCCTCAGGGCCCCCAGACCCCCCAGGGAGCCGACGGCGTTGTCGGACAGACAAAGGTGCTCCACCGCCGGGAGCTTTGGCAGCTGACGCAGACACGCCAGGTGGTTGCGGTGCAGGTTGAGCATCGTGCACCTGAAATATTTCATTTTTTTTTTTTAACCCAATGACTTGATACGAACAAGGACATTTAAATTGGATGAAGGAGTCGTGGTGCATCTTGGGTAGTGAGCTGCGTACCGTGGCAGGAGCACGGAGCTCAGGTTGGCGAGGGAGTTGTCCACCAGCTGCAGCTTCTCCACGCGGATCAGCCGGCGGAGGATCCGCAGGAAATTCTCCTGCTGGAAGGGGTCCCCCAAGTCCTGGTAGGACAGATTTAACTCCTGAGAAGAGACGCGTGGTGAAAGGGTGAGAGTCTTTGTCTCTCTGTCTCCCTCACAACTCCCGCCAACTCCCAGCATTCATTCTGGTCGCCTGCTAGGCTGCGCTCGGCCCCCCCCCCGACCTTTACCTGCTTCTCATTTCCCTGCCAAATGGTGTCCTTTGCATTTGTCCCAGCGTCTTTGTTTCTGCCTTCCGATCGATGCCTGGTTTGCATGTGTGTGTGAGCCCGTCTAGCTCTTTCCCTCATTCTTGCTCCCTCTTTTTCCCTCTCCCTCCCTCCCTCCCTCTCTCTCGTCTCTATAGTTTCACCGGGCACAGTTTTCACTCTGCTGCTGTGGACAAACAACGGTCGCGGACTTACCAGGCAGTTTTCCCAATTCTCTTGCAGTCTCTCCTCCCATCTTTGTCCTTCCTCCTCTCTCCTCCTGCGTCTCCTCCCTCTCTCCAAACAGACGTCACCTCCCCCTCTTAGAAACAGCTCCTCTTCTGAAGGCCCTGTCACGATGACAGTATTCAACAGTTATCGGTTGGGATTCCTTTTAGTACGTCTGTCATTATCTGTCATCGTCTACTGCAACGCTTCCCAAACTCAAGAATGCCGCGGCCCAATTTGAAATCTGAAAGTCTTTTGCGGCCCACCCGAAGCTTTAATGACAACCCTGATCAAAATATAAACTAGGGATGATTAAATGACCTTAAGAATTTAACCGATTAAAAATGTATTAAGCGACAATGTATGTTTTGTATACCATTTTCTCCGGAGCTCATATATATTTACTTTAATATTACAAGACGGCGCCCATTTGACATGTTTTGTTTGGCGGCGCCTTCTGTTGAATAACGAAGAGCAGCCGTTTTGAGCGAGAGACTTATTGTTTTATTAATCTGTTCCTTTAAATTGTTTGTGCTTCATCAATTAATGTTTCATGTAACTAATGTGCCGCTAGAATTGTTCAAATAATACAATTTTTTTATATTAATTTCAAACTTTTCAAAATTGAAAATTAAAAACATTTTATTTATTTATTGTAAATGACCTCTCGCGGCCCACCTGCAGTACCTTCGGCCCACACTTTGGGAATCGCTGATCCACTTAATTAAATCAAAAGAAATGAACACGATAACGAAAGCAACGCAACATGTAAAGAGATTAATGAGCTCGGATGGCTTAGTTTTTGGATGCTCAAATTGTTTTCACTTCAGTAGATGTTGATGAGTTTATCAATTGAACGAAGGTCACTGCATCATCATCATCCTCATCATCATCATTACTACACAGTAGCAGTGATTTACTCTGATCCAGACCTTCTCGGACCCTGGGGCAGGTCAGCTGGTCACCCGTGACATCACACTGCTCCAGGCCATTCCACGACACGAACCTGAACCGGCTCGACGGGAGCTGTCAGAAAAAAAGGAAGCAGAGAGCGGGATGAACGAGGGGGACACTGGGCGAGGCCGACCTGCAGAAACCTCTACTGATCTGTGAGGTGTGACACCCTCCTCGAGTGAGCCTGTGACACGGGGGGGGGTTTGCACACACAGGGACCTTCGGAGCTTTTAGTATGAAGCTGATTGGGAGAGCAGGACACGCACTAAAGCGTAACCTGCCACAGTTTCCCAGTGGTGCAATAATAACTGGGTAAAAGAAAAAATCAATGGGTCATTTCTAAGACCATTAACCAATACTGCTGCAGGCGTTAACGAGGTGAAAGCGCACACTACCCGTATTTCTGCTGTTACAGATCTTACAAAAAGCTGATCGACCGAAAGTGTTTCTATTTGTGTTTGTCGCCCTAAACATTTAATCCAAATTCATCTATTTGTATTTCAGGCAATTCTAACCTCACAAGAGTCACTTCTTTAATACAACAGTGCCGGTTTGTTGTCTTTGTTTCTCCAGCGCGACGAGGTGCTCTGCTTCCGCCGTGACCTTTTGAACCCCTCTGCAATCATCTCGTCCACCCTCACTTTTCCCCGTCACAGGTAACGGAAAAAAAGCTGCCGGCTCTCTCTATTCAACACCTGATGACAGGACGCTGAGGTGCTACGCTAAGTATCCATTTTCAACTGTAGATGCCCTTTTGCAGGATTTATAAGAAACACACCTTGCAAAGTACATTTAACCACAAAAAAAAAGATCTCTGCTGGGATCGTAGAGTGGACATTTTTTGATCTCTCTCTTTGCTCAAATAGTCAAGAGAGGCGACAAATCATTGAGCGGAGCCATCTAGGCGAGAGGCCAGTGGCCCGAGGGTAAAGCAGGAGAGTGAGAATATCAGGTTCAGCTCAGGGACGACAAATTGGACGGCGGATGGCGGCTGAAATGGAAAGAAAAGGGGGAGGACACGGGAGAGGCGTAGGGAGATGAAAGAGTCAGACCTACAGCTGTGAAGGGAGGATAAGGAGCACGAATGACAGCAGCAATGAGCGCTTACCGGGTTATTGTGTGTGTGTGTGTGTGTGTGTTGTGTATGTGGTGTGTGTGTGTCAAACAGAGAGCGTGTGATCTACTCACAGGTTGTGGATACGAGTCCAGAATCAGGACTCTGGTCCACAGAGAAGAGGTGTGTGTGTAGCCCCAAATTCAGAGTACTGGGATGAATGGGATTTGGGGAAACTGCCGCTGAGAGTGTTCACACCTGAGGAACTGAGAGAGAGAGAGAGAGAGAGATGCAGGACATTATCACGTCCTCGGCCAGCTGTCTTTTCGTAATGTAAGCCCCGGTGTGTCCTGAAACCCTGACCTCCGGCCGAGTGGTTAGAGTTACCGCTGAACTGGGCCTGACAATGCCGATTAGGACCCGTCGCCATGACGGCAGCGGACACCTGAGCAGGTGCTATTATTTTATAATAGTCGCGGTGTGGGGGGATTGCTGGACACACACACGCTCCTATTGTTGATGCGGCATTTAATGATAAGCTACTTTACTACAGTATAATAGTTGAATGATTCAACGTGTAGCTTTGAATATCATTGAAAAGAGGAGAGGTTTTAGCTTGAAGCGTAACCGGCCCCTGTCGTCTCCTCGGCCGGATAGCGTAACGCTCATTAAATCGACAAACAACACGCTGTCACTGGACACGATATCGCCGCCGGCTTACCTTTCTGACATGTCCCAATCGTCTTTGGATAATCTTTCCCGGCCCTCTTCAACACGTGGTGAACGGCTGGGTTTGGACCGCAGCTCTTACCCATGGAGCCCGCCGCTTTCCCTCCTTTCTTTATAGTATTCACAGGCACAACGCTTTGCGTCCCGTGTGCTCCGGCTCGGGGGATTGGCCGGTGTGGGCCCCCGTGCTGCAGGTGAGACCGGTCGCTAAGCTGTGCCGGTTGCCTGGCAACAGTGTTCAGGCGTACGATACGAGAGAGGTGAAAAAGGAAACGGACGCCAGATGCTTTTGAACGAAGTCGACTGCGACAGCTCAATTATTTTAAATAAAAGAGACCAGAGGGGGGGACTGAAAAAAAAACCTAACAACTTGTTTTGTGTGACAAAAAAACGAAGGAGAGTGCTTCAATTTGTCATCTCTCAAAACAAGTGGCAACATTTTTTCAATATGCTATTATTTTGCTCAATCCGTCGCACTGTGTCATGCCCGTCTTACAGTCTCCTCGGGCGTCCTCTCCCGTCTTTAGTTTTGCCTCTCTTCAACTCCATTAAACCGCCTTTGTTCATCTGGTTGGAATTTCATTTAATCCAATCCAATACATTTGGCATATATTTTGTGAACACTAGTGTTCTGAAAATGCTTAAATGGGCCAGACTCACTTTAAAAGAACACATTTGGGAATGAGGGGATCAATGGCGGGGAAATATGACATCAAATTGTCAAATAGAGGCCTTACATTTACACTTACATTTAATGCCGTGCGTAGTTTGTTTTTCCTTGTTTTCATTTCTGCCTTTATTTACTTTGTGTGGTAGTTCCTCTCCTTTTTTTCGGTTTGGCGGAGGAGGAATTTTGTTGATTCCGATTTTGAGTAGCACGAAGAAATAAGGCTCAGCTTTACCAGCAGAACTAAGTAATTTAGATCGTAACGTCCTGCACCCATCGGCTGTCGTCCCTCAACAACGCAGCTCGTTGTGTGTACGATATTGCGGCACTGAACACACACTATGCGCACTGAGGAGATGAAAAAGGCCATTACCGGTAGAGGTAAATGAAAACCCCCGGACCTACAGGGACTGTGCATATGATTCACATCGTACTAACTTGTGTTGAGCTGTTGCCTTTGCTGGATATTTGAAAACTGCGTTATCATTTGAACTACGTGCTGTTGAAAGAATTTCACTTGTTCTCTTCCTTACGATCCATTTCATCTTGTGTGACAAACATGTCATCCATAATTGGTGTTCTCTAAACAGCGACTGAAGATAAGAACGGTGGATTGCACAACGCATCAAACCTAATTCATCAAAGCATCTTTTTGTGGTATTCATATTTATCACAGAGCACCAACGCTCACTAATAGCAGGCAGGGAACATCTGTTACAGATGTAAGTGTTAAAGTCTATTTTCTGATACATGTCAGTGTCAGTGAAGGAAGCAACTGTTACCTTGATGTGGAGTATTTGGGTATATTAACAATATATACATACATAAGTAACAGTGTCACTATGATGTCAATACAGTTATGAACGTCTGAGATAGCTCTAGATTATATTTAAATTGTGTTAATAACATTGCACATATTACTAATAAATATAAAGTTTTTCTGTGTGTGTGTATTATTCTATATTACTGCAGTTTGTTGCTTTACTTGGCATATTACGCTCACCACATATAAGCTACCTCATATGTTCTTCATGATGCTCTTATTTACCTGATATAAAGACAAAGTACTTCTTTAATATAAACAAAAAAAACCCTCAAGTAAATCCTGGAAATGAACATCTAACATTTCTCCTTTTGGAGTGACATTTATCACAACCAACATTCGTCCTTGGTCACAGTAAATCCTTGCCTGGCCCAGTGATATAATCTGTTTCTGTGTGTGTGTGTGTGTGTGTGTGTGTGTGTGTGTGTGTGTGTGGTAGCTAGGTGATGCCACAGGCCTGAAACCACTCCAAGATTCCTTGGCAGGGTCTAGTGTGCCCTTGGAAGCGGAGGTTACGGTTGAATAGCTTACTTCTGCCCCGAGGTTGGATTTTCAACTAAATTAGCCAGCCTTACATAAAGTCTATTATATATTCTGGCACAGAAAAACGTAACGGACTTTTCATAAAACGGTTTCATAAACTCAAGCGTGGCATGTATTTCAAATTGCAGCAAATCTGCAATTTAAGATGGAAATATTTCAGATTAAAGGCATCCCAAACTGTATCGCCCTTAAATGTACAGCATACATTCAGGGATGTTTTTAACACAACCTACATACACGGAGGAGGAGAGTCTTTTTTTAATGGGAACACATCCACGTTTTTATTGAGTAGAAGACTGAATACGGCTGGTGTTACGGTTTCTCCCTGGATGTAAATCCAATACAGCGCAGCAGATTTTTTTCAGTGCGCCTGCATGTTCCAGTCCGTCTCCATAGCAACCCGCCTTAGTTACGCAGTCACCTCTGCTCACCTGTGTGATGCACAGCTGGGCCTTATTCAACCACTGAGATATGATAAGGCATATTAGTACAGCAGCAGTTTAGCCATGTGCCACAGTGTAAAAAAACTGATTAGAATTTTGTCTGGAACAGATATAGTACTAAGATTCATTATATTTGGACAAATGTTTGCACATATTCTGCAATAAATACTGGAGTATATATTATGGATATTCATATAACACAATGTCAAACGTATTGGTGTATTATTAAAGTGTGAAACCTTGTGTGCACACACGCTATCTGGAGTGAGAAAGAGTAAATCTTTTAGAAGTAGAGAGAATATTGTTTTTGTGCATCATGTGTCGGCTTAAGTGAGCGCAAAGCTGCTGAACTTAAAGGGGTTGTGCGCGGATTACATATCATGTGTCCTTCTTCTCTTCTCCCCATAAACAAAGCACACCAGAGAATATGTACAGCGTCCTCGTCCTGCGTGTCTGAATCCAGGAGTTTAAAGCTTCCAGTATCAAAACACAAATGTCGTATGTCATATTTCAATATATAATATATTTGTATAATATTCAGTTTGTATATATTTTGTTTTAAAGAGTATAAAACACAGCTGAAGATGGCGATAGAGGATAGGTAGCATTTATGACGCCAGGGTCTTGAGTGAGCTCGCGCGGCGGTTACATGGAGTCAAAGTCGTGGTCGTTGGGCTCGATGACTTCAGGGGTCATGACCCTGCCCATGAAGAGGATGGACCCTAAGGGGAAAAAGGACGGAAAGGATAGAATGTCAGGCCACAACACACACACTGCACTTTGATATGCACAGAGACACACACACACACACACACACACACACACACACACACACACACACACACACACACACACACACACACACACACACACACACCTGTCTTCCGGTTTCTGATGACAAAGAAGAACGGGTGATCAGCCATGACCTGCGGGTACAGCACCAGAGTCCTGGTCAGAGCGATCATACCTGAAAGAGGGAGAGAGGGAACCAGGGAAACACACACCGCAGTTATTATTTGACAGATGGGGGGCAGTTTTTGGTGAATGTGATGTTGCCGTAGAGACCCATATACACTAAGAAGATGTAGTCTGTGGTAATGTTACTGTTAAGGGCGACTTTAATGAAGAACAAATGTGGAAATGTACCTGATCCAACAGCTCCTTCCGCCCCCTCCTCAGTTACATCCAGGTAAGCCTTCTGCACAGCCTTCCCAATGTACAGGTCCTTACCATCTACACACACACATACACACACAGACACACACACACACATAACAGAGCATCGCATCGTTCAGTCACGTTTGGAAAAAACGATCCGTCTTTGCTTATGAGTTTATTAAGCAATTTTCAAAATACCCTTTTCCTTCCCTCCCTTCCGGATACAGACCATTTCCTCCGAGTACATGTTGATTTAGCACAAGATGTTCTGAAGTCCAGTACAGCCTGCAGATTGTGTTTTATAATATAATACTAGCTCCACTTGACCAGTAAGAACAAGCTGTTCACTGTGACGCGAGACGGGTGTTTCTTTAATCCAGTTCTTTGCAAAGCCACGATATCTCCACTCCTCCACCTCTGCAGCATGTACATGCCTCTCTCTCTCCCTCTCTCTATCTATTTTTAACAGATGATGTGACAGCTCTGACCTGCCCACTCGGTGCCAGTTACCGTGGTTACCTGAGAAAGTACCTGAGGCAACTTCACTGCAGCCAAGAAGCAAAATATGTAATCCACTTGTCATGCTGGAGCCTTCTAGAAGTTTATTTATTATCCCATTAGTTTCTATGTGTTTTGATATAATAGTCGAAGGGTATGAGTCACATATTTCATTGTTAGCACTTACTGATTCAAGCTAATTGGGGGGAAAAAAAGGAACCAGTTTCCAACCACATAATATAACAAATATGTACTAGCGAGTTCTCAGAAAGTTCAAAATCATCAAGTTAAAGGTTTGCAAGTGGAAGACGGGTCAGAAGGCTTCAAGAATTCTTCTACTTTTAGGTTTTATGGCATACAACAAAAAGTACAAGAACACCACCGACTGCATTGGAGTGTGGAACATAATTACTTATCCATTTACAAAAAAGAAGCATTGTCATGTCCTGATTGGTCAAGGGAGGAAATGAACCAAGCTGCTGTCCAGTCCCACACCAGGCTCAACAGGTGATCTCAAGAACCCTTCAATTAACTCAGGGGGGGTTGTCATATCCAGCTAAATGGAGAAATAACAATAAGGTTTTTTAATACCTGTCATGGCCGAGAGATCAGCATCGTTGGTGAAGATGTTCTTTATTCCGAGCTCCTGCAGGATGCTCTTCAGGTCGATCTTCTGCTCCACTTTGAACCTGAACAGAGGTTCAAAGAATCAGAATCAGATGTGAATTTAAGAAAGCCAGATTCAGATTAAGCAGGCGGACACAAAGCCAGTTATTGCCAGAGGTTGTCTTCCCATTGCTTGCAGGCCTCGAGTATCACGGTGTTTTAAAGAAAAATCCAACAGTGTCAGATTTCAGTCCATCACTGTGCG